TATTCTTTCTTTTTCCTTCAAAACTTTGATATAGAACTTAAGAATAAATTCTTGCTTTCCTATACTTATTAACTGCTTTTAAGTTTTTTAACCCCACGACTAAAGCTTTTTTTGTTTTAAAAAAGTAACTATCTTGTTAGAATTTATTGTTTCTATTTCCTCCCCTTTGCTTGAAAAACCTTAGTTACCAACAAATATAATATATATATAATCAGAATTTCATTATTATTATTCTTTTTACTTACACTTTTAACCAATTCATTTATTAGTATAATAAATCAAGAATATTTTTGCTAACGTACAGGTCAAGTCGTTATAACCAACTCAGCGAGAAATTGTATGCAATAAATTGTTAAATTGGATTGGAGACTATAAATTATGGATAAAAATTAGATCAAAGCCAAAGAGTTGGATAGGTGTATTTTTTGATAACAGATTTTTTATAAATAATGAATTTATTTTGGTTGTTGTGGCAATTAAAAGTTTAATGTAAAAAAGAAGTCATGTAAGTATATTAGGAGTAAAATAGATTATGGTGATAATGATATTGACGACACTTTAATAAAAACAAGCAACATAATGGAATATTTTTTTTAACAAAACAATAGATGAAACAAATAATAATATATATTAGGAGTAAAATAAAAAGAATAATGGTAATCTTGATGTTGATATTAATGACACTTGAATAAAAATTGGCAACATGATAAAATAGGTTTTATTTAAAATAGATTAATCAAATAATAATAGATAATTTAAATACAAATATCTATTATTATTGTTATGAAAATCAGAAATTTTGTTTGAGTATTGCAAGATGTGAATGAGAAATAAAAAATTACTTGCTTTAAGATTTTTATCGAAGATTGGGGTTTATGAGTACTGTTTGAGCATTCTACAATTACCAAAAAATAGTGTTGGTACACACCCACATCACCAAAATTTTTTTTTCACCACATTACTTTCAAGACAGATTTCTTTATCAAATTTAATTCAATTAGTACCTAATTAGGTACTAATTGTTATAACTTGAGATATAGGTTCCTTATTCTTTAGAGATATATATACTTGTTTAATATTTCGTATACCAGCCGTTTGCATCTACTACAGCTTGAAGTCTTCGGGGCTTTGATAAGACTAGCTTATTTATGAGGTCCTGATGGAAATCCTCCCAGACTTCTACAACTGCTTCGCATAACTTATTTAGTCACTGATTATTCTTTGGTAATAGTGATAGTTCCGGAAATCTTTTACAGATTTCTTCCTTAAGCAATTTCCATATATTCTCAATTGGATTAAGATTAGGTGAATAAGGAGGCGAGTCCACTAAAGTAACCCCATTCACGCAGATAATTCTGAACTATTTGAGCTTTATGTGTAGGTGCATTATCTTGAACAAATATAAAACCCGGCTGTGCAATTTTTGAAAGTTGATCTTGAAGGCATTCGAGAATACAGTGGGTAGTAACACCTCCACGAGCAGATGTAGGGTCTCCATGAAGCGGCCATAAAGACGATCAAGAGGAAAAGGAAATTGCACCCCTGAACATCAGAAAATGACCTGACGGCTTAACTTTTGGCTGTACATATTGAATATCTAATCGCTGTCCCTATTATTTGTAAATAGGTGAACGAATTGTAACGTAAATTAAACATACTTTTGGGCATAAAACCCACTCCTGCTTTTTGCCATCACCACGAGTAATTGTAGACTCATCACTTGAAATCCAGTGCTTCCAAAAGCTTTCTGGTTCATCTTTAAACATTATTGCACAATTAAAGCGTTGTTCCACTATCGGTGGAGTTAGTAATGGCCGTCGGAGAGCGCGTTGATAATGGATGCCTTCATATTTGAGTCATCTCAAAATAGTACGTAAAGAGACATTTAAATCAACGGCAACAATAAGATCTTGAATTTTAATAAAAGAATATTTCCTAATGACTCGGAAAATATCCCTTTATTCCTATCGGAAAGCTTTGGTGGCCGTCCTGATCGTCCACAACTAGAGGAATTTTTTTGGTTAGGGCATCGTCGAATGATGCCAGAAACAGACCCTAGTGACACTCCCTCCTCAAATGCGATACGCCGCTGGGAAATTCCCATTTTGTACTTCATATAAATTATGGCTCTCTTAAGAGGACTATGTTCAGCCCTGGAAGTCACTGGAGTCATTGGTGTTGAGAAAATAGGAATTCAAAATGAAGTGGCTGTCGCGTTGAAAGTAAAAAATATGATGTTGTAGCAAAAGTGGGGTTTGCACATCGTTACTTTATAGGGACCCCCCCTGTATGTTAGTGGTAACCCTTTTTTTGTCTACAGAAAAAATCTTTTTGAATTTCTTTTTATTTCTATACAAATTTAATGACCCGCTAAAAAGTTACACATTTACAGTTTCTTTTATTTATTTCTTTTAATTTTTTTTATTCCATAATTTTATAGTAATAAATAGACAGTATTTTATTGAAATATTGTGTAATTCCATCAATCTCATCGAAAAATTGTCTGGACGATTTATTATGGTGTCTCTTTGGGAATTGTGCAAAAATGATTGTTAAACCTTTTAACTTTTGACTTAACTTCCATATAGAGATGATAGTATGTTTATTTTACCAAAATAAATTGTCCAAACTAGCTTTCAAGATGAATAAACTTTTCAAATCAACAAAGCAAACGGGTTATGTTTTTGTAGATTGAGAGGCTGGGAACGAATATATTGAAGATATAAGTTTGAGGAAAAGACAAACTCCTCCCCCCCTCTTCCAGTATTTCCTGTCAGTATCATAGCGACTCTAAATAGGAACTGCGTCTTATTAAACTGTCAAGAAATTGATTGTAGGGTTGAAAGGTAAGTCAATTTGCAAGACTTAGACATAGTACCTGCTAAATTTTGATAGTGATTAGAGATGGAATAGATAGAATTACAAAGGTTGGAAATTAATGATAAAATGATATTCCTTCCACATAGATCAAAACTTTACTCTTTGCTAGGTGATTTTCAAAACCTTAATCCTAACAGGATGGTGCACTTTAGCGCGATGTGGTTAGGGCACTTACCCCCGTGAGGGTCAACACTGGAACACTCTGCTGGTCACTGCTATAAGATATAGAAGCGAGTCGCACCTATAACATCAAGTTATAGCAGCACAATGTTGTTGAGGAAGGCTAATTCTCAACAGAATAAAGACCAAATAAAACGATGAAATAATTACATATACATATAAAGGATAACTATTCGAATGAGTGTGCAAAAAAAAAGAAAAGAAAAACAGATATCTGCTTGTTTGTTTATTTGTTTTTTTCAAGGGATAGAAATATTACTAGTAATATTTAATTCCACAGTACTGTGGAATTAACAATATAATTACAATTTCCCAACTTGGTTGACTTGCAGCGTTATTATCGTTCCTTTTCAATGCAGATTATTTCGATTTGTGCCCCACGGATAGCCCGGAACATGGACCCTGATGCCACGTTACGAAGAACATGGAGGGCCCGACGATCGGACCAAAGCCTATCCGAAACTAAAGAAAACAGATAAAAGTAAGCTTAAAGTAAGTAAGTTGTAATTCCTAAAAACAGAAAATAATTTACCGAGGAATTAGGACGAAAAAAAAAAATTAAATAAAAAAAATTTAAGCAAAGTAAGTAGCTTAGACATTTTACCATTATATATTGATTATTATTCAACATGATAGGAAAATGATGTCTTAAAAAAAACTTAATACGTCAGTTTAATGTTTGAATATAAATTTGGCCGAGTTTTCAACGTGTAGAGATGTTTGTTTGTATGAGCGCACAGCACAAAAAAAAAAGCGACTAAATTTTAGGGACATGAAATTACCGAATAATGATTTTTATTAGTAAAAAAATAAAAAAGAATAGTATCCAAATATAGGTTTTTTTTGTTTCTTTTAATTTTTTTTTGTTATTTTTTCAATGCCCCTGAACTGATTAAAAGTTATGTTGCGAAGACAAAAAAAAATCCCCATACTTATTCATTTTTTATTTCAAAGGACACATGTGGTTTCCTAGACAGATAAACAAAGAAAAAAAAGTTCTTTGAAAACAAAACTTTTGGTCTTTTACATAAAAAATTATCCGATGAAGAATCTGAACTTTGAGAATTTGCACGAATATTTGTGCCCTTAGTAGAACGAAGCTTTATATGGTGGAAATTAAACATAAATTCGTAAAATTTGGCAACATCTGCAGTTAATGATAATTTTATACATAAAAAGCTTTTTAATCTATTTTTTCATTGATGCAAAAAATTACTAGTCTTGCGCCACATGATGGAGTGCTTGAAGTAGAGTTTTATTTTATATATTTTATATATTTTATATTTTTTTCTTTCTTTCTTGTTATCTTTTTAAGTATCCAAAATGAGATAGTATGAATATTTATTATACATGATGCATTTTGACCTTTTATCTTAGGAAAACCCAAAACAAAAGTTAATTATAATTATAGGTTAGAGAGTAATATTTTGAGAGAGAGAAAATAGCCAAACTGATTCAAAATTCGGCGACTTTTTCTTTTTTTTTCAAAAAGTTATTATTATTATTATTGTTAATATTTATAGAATGTGAAATTCCTTTTTAATTTTCTTTATTCTTTTTTTGGTCCTATCAATTTCTGAAATTTTTATAAGATTCTAACAAAGTATTAAATATTTTAAAATTTTTCTATTCATCCATATGAACTTGTTATTTTTGTCTTCGGTTTTGTGCCCAAAAGAAGACATATCTATTTTTCAATCCATGTGTCTGTATAGAGATTATATATATTCGAATATTCAGAAAAACGAGAAAAAAAAAGAAAAAAAAGTGATTATTTTTCTAAATTCAACGCCCAGATATATATCATCTATATCTCTTTTTAATTTGTCAATTTAATTAATTAAATTGATCAAGAATATTCTTAATGTTTTTCTTCCAGTTTGTGCGTTGAACAAAAAAAAAAGAAGAAAAAGCAGCTGTTTTAATTTAAGTAGTTTTTGTTAAAGTTGAAAGTTGACAAAGTTGACAAAGTTGACAAAGTTGACAAAGTTGACAAAGTTGACAAAGTTGACAAAGTTGACAAAGTTGACAAAGTTGACAAAGTTGACAAAGTTGACAAAGTTGACAAAGTTGACAAAGTTGACAGAATTGTTAAAATTGTTAAAATTGTTAAAATTATCTATCCCCAACAAAATATTAAAATGCATGGCTTTCTCAAGATTGAACTTCTAGAAAAACATTCATTACATTATGAGTTTTCTCAGAGCTTCAACATCAATTTTGAGAGATTCCAATTTCTAATTTCCCATGATTTACTTTTTTTTTTTTTGAATATTAGTATATACTTATATTGAAAGTACTTGAAAATCTCTTCTATTGGAAATAGTCTAGTGTGCCAAAAAAAAAAAAAAAAATAAAAATAAAAATAATTTTCCGCATCACCCAAAAATTTATAAAGATATACGCTTTCGGGTAAATACATTTTCGACATCTCTCAAAAAAGAGAAATAAAAATAGAAAAAATTAGAAAATTTAAAAAAATTAGAAAAAATTTTCAAAGAAGGAGATATTTTGAAAAAAAAAAAAAAAAAGAAAAGAAAATTATCTTTTTGTTCTTTTATTTTTGACATACAGTTTATTTTTTTTGTTTTTTGTTTTTTGTTTTTTGTTTTTTGTTTTTGGCCCAAGTCCAACTCAACAAAATCCCAGTTGGAATGTGGAGGAGTTCATGCATATATGAACCGATGGATGCGTGAATCAAAAGAAATCAGTCTCTCTTGGCCAAAATTATCTCGTCTTTGGTCAACTATTATTATGAATATACTTAGAGCTTTGGGGAGGGGTGGCACTTTAAAGAGGAAGAGCTAGAAATTCTTCGCTAATTCCTTGTCATTGCTAAAAATTTGTATATATATATATAAATATTATTACTATCTTCCGATGGCTGCCTTCTGGATGGCTTCAGAAATTTTTTCTATTTAAGACAGGAGGTGTTTTTTTTTCTCTATTATGAAAAGCCTTTCCAAACTGCCTGCAAAGCTTCTAACCCTGTGCTCGGGAACTTCCTTTCTTGTTATATTCTCTTTTCAAATAACTTTTAGCATTGGCGAAAATTTTTTAAAGCTCTTCTTTAGTAACCTGCATTAAGAGTTTTATTTTTATTTTATTTTTATTTTTTTTTTTTTGTTTCCAACATTTTCTTTATGAGTTTCTTTGATCAAGAAACTTTGATCTTAAATGCTGATAAGAACTTTGTCTGGACATGGGTATGTTACTATAACTTGTTGTTATAGGTGCAACTTGCCATTATGTTACATAGCGCAAAGACATGATGCTTCTCAATAGTCTGAAAACTTTTCACAAAGACTGATGTTTTATCCATACGTTATACGGTGGTTAGAGTTATGCCTAGGAAACGATAAAGCTTGTCTATTGAGATGGGGTTTATTTTATTCCATTTACTTATAAGTATCTGACAAAAGTTAATCTGCTTCATCTCACCCACAATTGAATTGGAAAAAGATACAAATCTTCGAAATAACATTGGGTTTCACTGAATATTTTAATCTTTTCAACTCACATAATTACTTAGTCAAAGGCCTGCCTGCCTTAATACTTAATATTTATTAGTGGCCTTTGAATCTACCAACATTAAAAAAAAACAGAAGTGTATATATCTTTGTGTAAGAATGGTGATCTTTTTTTATTTTTTTTTATTTTTTTTTTATTTTATAAGTTAGGAAGTATGGACTTTATGAAAAATAGTTAGTTCACTCACCGGAATATATCATGGCATGTAGATGATAACGTCAGCTTGAAGAATTCTTTCCAGAGGGATTTTCCCTTATTTTTTTATTTTTTTTTAATCTGCAAATCAACTTTGTCTGGGATTCTCATTACCTTCAACTTTGTCAACAACTTTGGTACCAACTTTGACATTAGTCTAGACATTATCCTAGACATCAGTTTTGACATCAACTTTGGCTTCAATTTTAGGATATCCCAAATATTCATTTTTTTTTTTCATTTTCATTTTCTTTTTTTCAATGAACCCTGAATTCTTTTGTTCAACTTTTTTATGCAATCTTTGGCATTTTCCATTTTGTTTACCCTGTCACTTTCTATTTTTTATTTTTTATTTTTTATTTTTTAATTAATTATTATAATTATTTATAATTATAATCAAAAGGATCGGACCGAATATGCTCCTGGTGAAGTCTTATGCCGGTTTCAGTTATTGCTTCCTTTGCTCTGCACCTACCCCAAAATAATTAAACTTAATAGGCGCCCAACTAACACACAAATTTTACGAATACACCACTCTGCTCTCCAACAAAGCCATATTAGGAAATACAAAAATAATGGGCAAGACATATATATATATTTTTTTCCCTATAATATACTAAAATCTCAAAACTACAAATACCAACAACACAATTTTTTATATTCCTTTATGTTCCTTTTTTTTCAATTGATTATGAAAATTTATGAAATTTTTATCATAAGTCTATACTTTTATATTTATATATATTTATATTATAATCATAATAAAACATTAACCATTACCATCCAATTACGCCCTCATTTCCATCTATAAAAAAAATCAATCAGAAATTACTTCTTTCCGCAAACGTAAACTTCTGCGAGTCCTTGTGGCCAAAGCCATCACTTTAGCTTCATGGTCGTCATTGTGGTCATTGTGGTCATTGTGGTCATCATTATTACCATTGTCACCGATGTTACCATTATTACCACTTTCGCCATTTCCATTTTCTTTCTTCCTCTCCTTTGCACTTTTTTCCATAATATTTCCCTTCTTTTTATTCCCATCATTTTTATTATTCACATTTTTCAAATCACCAAACTTAAGAAACTTTATTTTTCCCCTCCTCTCATTCATATCTCGCTCACCGTACTTCTCGGCTGCCGACATTTCCTCCGATTCCGAGCCGCAACGTGGCGCTTTGGGAAGTGTTTTGCCAATAATTACCTCCATGGGCTGTGTTGGTGATTGCTGCAAAAGTCCAGATACCCTCGTATGCACCCCATCGTTAATTGGTCGATCGAGCTCCCTATTAGTAGTCCCTTCACTGGTACAGTCATTTCTCCCAATATCGCTACCACTTCTCGGTCTCCTGCTCCTCGTGCTCCGTTTTCTGTCATTTAAACCATTACAACTCCTAGAGACTGTACTTTCCTGAGCTGCATCTGAAGATGGTGTTATTTTTGCTATTGCGCTTGCATCTTTAATAGTACCCACACTATTGTCCCTGTAGTTCTTTGTCTTATTTCCTTGATAACCTTGTTGCCACTGTTCATCCATTTCTTCCGCGTCGTTATTCTGGTGATTTATGCTGAGTCTTTGTCCACCGTCCCATAACTTGTTCTTTCCCTTTTCTTTTTCATTTTTTCCCTCTTCTTCTTCTTCTTTTTCTGTATGTAACATTCTGGAATCACCACCATCATACTTTTCTCTCGATTCAATACACGAGGTAGTCACAATAGTCACTCTTGTCGGTGTTGTAGTCGTGGCTCTATCATATCCATTTTTGGAAATGTCTTCAGTCTCGACCGGTGAGAGAATCGCTCTATTGTTTGGATACGAGGGTGGGGCCACTGCATGTGCACTTGTAGATGTGGCATTGAGAATAGCAGTTGTTGTTGTTGTTGTTGTTGTTGTTGGTGGTGGTGATGATGATGATGATGATGATGATGATGATGATGATGATGTTGGTGGTGATGTTGTTGTTGGTGTCGACGCAGGCGTGGGAGTTGGCGCACCGGCACAATTTAAATTTGCAGCGCCAATAATTTTATCAGTTCCATAATCAATCCCTGGATGCACTGACAACACTGGCGAAGATGAGGACACTCTAACACCTAACCCAGTACTTGACTCAATCCTCGAACCGACAGCCCCAGAATGACTACCTCCTCCACCACTAGCTGCCGTAGTATTCATAGAAGTGCCTGATGCACGTCGACTGACTGGTGACATCAAAGTGGCAGCGGTGGCAGTAGTAGTGATAGAACTACCCGCATTAGTACCATTTATACTGGTACTTTGTTTTACCAGAATTGGGGCCTGTGCATGTATATGCGTGTACTGACCTTGATGGTACTGGCCTTGGTGCTCTTGCTGTGCTCCAAGCAGTGGTGGTGGGTTTCCAGAATCAGCTGCACCAGGGTCTGGGACATACATATGGCCTAACGACTCAGCAGAAGCAATGTTAACAGCCGTAGTTGCAGCAGAAGGAGATTCTGAAGAATGACATTTGCTGCTTTGTTCAAAAGAGGGATCTGATTTTTTCAAGCCACCTACTGAAGAGGCTGAAGATAGAGAAGCAGCTGATGAAGAAGATGAAGAAGATGAACAAGACGATGAGAGTGAAGCCGTAGAGGAAGCTGGAAAAGAAGAAGAAGACGAGTATAGTTGTGAAAATATTGGGGGCGGTAATGGCGGCAAAGGAAAAGAATGATTTGATCGCTGAACGGATGGTGGTGGTGGAGGTGGTGGAGGTTGCAGCGCAAGAGACTTTTGAGATTTTTGCTGCTGTGGAAGTGGTAATTGCCTATGTATGTATTGAGGAGATTGATGAGACAACCCCGACTGCTGAATTGAGCCTTGTTGATGTGGTGATTGTGGAGAAAGCTGATGGGAAGACTCCGAACGCTGAATCTGGTATTGTTGCTCAACAGACTGGTGAGAAGCACCTGAATCTTGTTGTACTTGCTGAAAAGGTTGGTGATAAGACCCGTGGTGTTGAACTGGATCTTGTTGCTGTGGAAGTTGCTGAATAGGCCCCGGGTACTGGACTGGATATTTTTGTTGCACTTGTTGCTGGAGTTGTTGCTGCTGATGCTGATGTGGTTGTTGAAAAGAAGGGACAGGAGAAGCAGGACCAACAGGACTAGCATCAGAAACATGAGAAGCAGAGGTAACGGAAGGAGGTGGCGGTGGTTGTGGAGGTAATAGTAGCAATTGAGGTTGTTGTTGTTGTTTTTGTTTTTGTTGTTGCCGTTGAAGTTGAAGTTGCTGTTGCTCGTGAAGATGTTGATGCTGTTGCAAAGGTTGAGGCAGTGAGGGTGGTTGAGGCGGAACCCAGTTGGGCATATTGGGTATTGACGCCACATCCACTGAAATTGAAGAAGTTGGTCCGTACCTGATTACTTTTTCAGCATTGTATGGATTTGAACTTTTACCATCGTGATACCCGTGGCTATAACCTAAGTTGCACCCGTGCAAAAATCCTGCAACATACTTCGAGTCTGAAGCTTCATCAAATTGAATAGGTCTTGAAGAAATTAGTTGTTGGTATTGATTTTTCTGTTGTTGCTGCTGCTGCTGCTGTTGTTGTTGTTGTTGTTGTTGTTGTTGCTGCTGCTGCTGCTGCTGAATTTGCTGCAACTGCTGAAGATGATAGTTTTCTAGCTTTTGGAGATGGTACTGGCGTGAAGAATAGTAATGATTATATTGCGGAGCAGGAGGAACAGGGGGGGCAGAAGTAGCTACTGAAGCAGAAGCAGAAGCAGAAGAAGGATTAGGATTAGGAATAGGATGGGCAAGTTGAGCAGACAGAGCGGAAGAAGCAGAAGGAGCAGGATGAGCAGGATGGGCAGAAGAAGGAGCAGGAGGTGGCATTGATAGAACAATACCAGAGCCTGAAGGTGGGGGAGGAATGTCAGGTCTCATGGAACGCCGTGCAGTATTTTGCGACTGTGAGGAGTGATACGTAGAAGGTGGTCCTTGTTGAGGCAGCTGTTGAGAAGAAGTGTAATGAATTGGCAGTGGAGGAGGAAGAGGGGGAGGAAGAGGGGGAGGAAGAGGAGAAGGTCCTTGATGCTGGTACTGATACTGGTTCTGCTGCTGTTGCTGCTGCTGTTGTTGTTGTTGTTGTTGTTGTTGCTGCTGTTGCTGCTGTTGTTGCTGTTGTTGCTGCTGTTGCTGCTGTTGCTGCTGTTGCTGCTGTTGCTGCTGTTGCTGCTGTTGCTGCTGTTGCTGCTGTTGCTGCTGTTGCTGCTGTTGTTGCTGTTGTTGCTGCTGCTGTTGCTGTAGCTGTTGTTGCTGCTGTTGATGTTGATGTTGATGTTGATGTTGGTGATGTTTCAGCTGCTGTTGATTCTGTTGGTACTGATATTGCTGCTGTCCATAAGAAACCGAATCTCTAGAATCTAATATTGGAGCATTGGAATCTGTTTTCCTCCAGATCGGATTATACTGCGTCGAAGGTTGTAATGAAACTTGGGCTTGAGTGATGGATTCTGGGGTAGTGCGAGTTGTTGACAACTCCGATGGTGCATATGAGGTTTTTGTTACAATAGTTGTAGCTGTCTCTTGCACAGACAGCGATCTTTGATGATGGTGCACACTACCCTCGGTTCTAATCCCTGACCCAATTTCCATCCTAGGCCCGGATCCGAATCCTGACTCATTCCCAGGTACTGGTCCAGGAGAATGAGACAAGTTCATGGTCATGATTTGGTGTGAGTCCATTTCCGAGTATCGTCTTTTATTTTTCGGCGGATCAGAAAAAGATGAAACTGATGAAAATGAAGATGACCGTTCAATGGGGTTCGATGGGTAAACTGAAGTATTTGTAATTCTTTGATTTTGTTGTTGATGCATAGATGGTACGGGGGGCACAGAAGATATCTGCGCGGCTGGCTTGGCAGACAATGAAGCCCGCGCCGACATAATAAAATTTGCAGGATTTTTGAGCCTAAACTTGAAAATAGAAGGCCCATTTTTTGAACGGGGCTTGCGAGCTCGTGTTGCAATTGTTGGACCTGGTTTCCCTGAAGGTGAAGAAATTGAGAAAACTGCTTGCTCTGCATAAATAGTGTTGTGTCTTAGAGATCTTTGTTGACTCGGGTCTTGATTTTGAGCCTGACTTTGATATTGCTGTTTCTGAGGTGGGCAGTCAGAACTGGAATTTGTGCTCTTATCAAAACGTTGTATATAAATAGATGGACTATTATTATTATTATTATTGTTGTTGTTGCTATTGCTACTGTTGGTGATTGTTGTAGATACAGAAGTACCTGATGCTTGAGTAGAATACAATGGGTTACTACTGCTAGTTGCAGCAACTGTTTTTGAGCGCTTAGAAGGCGGTAAATCGGGAGCCGAGAGTAGAGAGGAAGTTTCATTTGAAAGAGGTGGAGGAAATACATCCACAGATGCTGTAGAAGTACTTTGTTGATTCACCAGAGGACGGCCTGGCCCTCTGCGCGGCTTAAGCAACGATGGTTCTTCAAAGGTTCTTTGAGGTGGTATTTGTGGCACTTGAGGTAGAGGATTCTGATAATGTTGTTGATGGTAATACTGCTGCTGCTGCTGCTGCTGCTGCTGAGGATTATGGTGATGATGTTGCGAGTCATAAGGGGACGTTGTTGGAGCTTGTAAAGATACATGTGGGGACTCTGAATTCGAGGAAGGTGCTTCTGCAGAAGCAGTGGCATTCATTTTTTTTTTTTTTTTTGGCTAGCAGAGATGATGTTGATAGTGGGGAAAAGAAAAGATGATGATGATGATTATGTCGATCTCAAAAAAAAAAAAAAAGATTCAAACTATCGGAGAGCTTTAAAAAACTGAAACAAAAGAAAGACAAAAGAGAGAAGGTTATAGAATAGGCTAAACAACACAGATAAAAGCTTTTAAGCCAGCAGATGATGAAAAATTTTTTATGGAACTGGCCAGGTGATGATAAATAGATGTGGGAATTAAGAGAGTGATACAGGAAAAGGGGAAAGAATTAGGTTTTTTTTTTTTTTTTTTCGTTTGATATAGATATAAGCATATAATTATATATTTAAAAATATGGGTGATTAAAAGACCGAAAAGAGAGATAGTAGTTAGATTCGTATATTTGTATATTTGAATATTTAAAATTGAATCTGGGATTTTTGAAAACTTAAATAAAAAAAAAAAAAAGAAGAAGAAAAGGGAAAAAGACAAAGAATGGGGGAAAAAATATAAAAAAAATAAAAAAAAATAAAAAATATAAAAAAGAAAAAAGTGAAAATTAAAATAAGAAAATCCAATAATTCTTAGAAATGATTTTGTTGAAATGTATAAATTTAAAATATTGTTCGTTAAATAATATAAACCCACCACTATAATATACGTAATTCCGAATAAAAATGCTGGAGGAGGACTAAATAACATGATGAGAAGCCTCGACTAATAAAATCCCCATTTCTGGAAAAAAAAAAAAAAAAACACTTGAGTAGATGCATGCATCCAAATGGGGCAACTTGCTGATGTTATTTTATTCTTTATTATATATAATACATATATATATGTATTATATTCAACAACAATAACAACAACAACAACAACAAATAACAATTTGGCATTCAGCCAAATCAAAAAAAAAAAAAAAAAAATATTATTTTCATTTTTATTTTTATTTTTATTTTTATTTTTATTTTTATTTTTATTTTTATTTTTTTTTTATTTTTATTTTTATTTTCATTTTCATTTTCATTTTCATTTTCATTTTCATTTTCATTTTCATTTTCATTTTTATTTTTATTTCATTTTTATTTTCATTTTCATACAGTTAAGACAGTCATGGGTTAGGGTAGGTCAGTTAATTGTTGTAAAGTTTTATTAGTAATTTGTTTGGTAATTAATTTAATAAGATGTGACTAAAAAGTTAATCTAGCAAGAAGAAAAATAAAAATAAAAATAAAAATAAAAATAAAAATAAAATAAAAAAAAGAAAAGAAAAGAAAAGAAAAGATCAGAAAGTCAATAATCAATCTTTTAAATCTTAGATTAAACAAAGTTAGTTAGTTAGTTAGTTGGTCAGTTAGTTGGTCAGTCAGTCTGTCTGTCAGTCTGTCTGTCTGTCTGTCAGCCATGACAAAAGGCCTTAGTAAAAATCCTCTTCTTCTTCCTCTTCCTCCTCCTCCCTGCAATTACAATTACAATTGCAACTTAGATTTCTGGTCTTTGTAAATCCTTGGTCATTTCTTTATTCATCAAGCTAAAATCCATTAATAAGTCCTTAAAGTCTATTAATAATAAATAATCTTACAAATACCACAATTATTATTAATTAATGAATATATTATAATAGATTCAGCAATCTAAAACTATATAAAGAACCCAAATAGACCTTTCATATTTAAATTTTTTCTTTCTTTCTTTTATTCTTACTCTTTCAAATGTTTAGGCCAATTGCCACAATCTCAAAAGTACTACCACCATTAAGAAAATCAATCTTCTCATATAATAAACTTATTGTTATCATTAAACCTTTTCCCAGAATAAACACTTTCCACACCACAACCACCACCTCCCTTAAAATGACCTCAAAAGCTCCAGCTGAAAACCAAACCTCAGGCAACTTTGCAGACAAAGACGGCCAATTCAAGCGCCAAGTCTCGTCTTTCCGTGACTTTATTTCCCGCGAACCAGGGGCCAAATTTCCTCCTGAAAAAAATAGATACCATCTATATGTCTCGTACGCTTGTCCATGGGCTCACCGTACTCTCATTACTCGTAAACTCAAGGGTCTTGAGGATTTCATTGATGTTAGGTTAGTTTCCCCTCCCTTTTTTTTTTTTTTTTTTTTTTTTTTTTAACTAAAATCTCTTATCAAAAAAAAAAATTTTTTTTTCTAACATTGTTTTAGCGTTGTTGACTGGTTCCTGGGACCCGATGGCTGGCGATTTACTACCCCTGATAAAGTCCCTGGGGCAACAATAGATTCTCTTTATGGATCCAAGTTTCTTCGGGATCTTTATTTCCGCGCCAATCCAGATTACTCTGCTCGCTTTACCGTTCCTATTCTTTGGGACAAGAAGACAGAGACAATTGTGAACAATGAGTCTTCAGAAATTATTCGCATGCTCTACACTGAATTTGACGACTTGATTGCACCCGAGTTCAGAGGGGTCAACCCTTACCCTGAAAAACACGCCGCTGCAATCGATGAGCTCAATGAATGGATTTATAATGATATCAACAATGGTGTTTACAAGTCGGGTTTTGCAACCACCCAGGAAGCCTACGACGAAAACGTCCATAAGCTCTTTAAAGCGCTCGACCGTGTGGAGTCAATTTTGGAGAAATCCTCTGGGCCTTATCTTCTTGGAGAAGATTTCACCGAAGCCGACCTTAGACTTTATCCTACCATTGTGCGCTTTGACCCGGTCTATGTCCAGCACTTTAAGTGCAATATTGGCATGATTCGCCATGACTATCCGGCAATTAACAAGTGGCTGGTTCACCTTTACTGGGACATTCCGGCTTTTAAGGATACTACGGACTTTGATCATATCAAATTCCATTATACCAAAAGCCATCTCAAGTATAACCCCTTTGGCATCACGCCAGCTGGTCCTCTCCCCAACATTCTTCCCAAGGATAAATAAATAAATAAATAAATAAAAAAAAAATAGCAAGAGTAGTAAGATGATATATTTATATATATATGTATATGTAAACATAGTTATTCAGAAGTCCACAATTAATCTATTCTATCATTTATTGTTACTACTGCTTTCAATTTTCTTGCGTGTTTGATGAATGGCTTTGAGCAGCTCGCTGTGCAGACTGTTTGATGTATTGTGAGCCTCCACCAAAAACTCAATGGGTTTAACTGTACTCTCATCATCCAGAACCAGTTTCTCAGGACCTTCTTCTCCAAATTTAATAATTGCACCATCTTCCTTGCGCGCTGCGCGTTCCCGGTACACGAGATCTAATTGCTCGCACGGCTTAAAATTGAGGTGAGGTGATATTCCACCAGCGGCAGCTCCATCCACCAATAATTCCAAATGGCGAGCACCCTCCAACGCCTTAAAATTACACCACGCGCGATACATGAGATAAATGCCCGGAACATTGGGAATCACAGGAAGCATGGCAATGGGTAAAGTCAGAGGCGCCAGCGCCAGGCACGTCAGCATGCGTCGCAGGTGCAGAGTGCGGCCGGTATGTGCAAGTTCACGGATCTGCTCAAACGCTTGTTCCGGAGTGATGTTGGAAGCAGGGTAGTATACCGAGATTGGGTGCATTTGTGCGGGGACTTTCCCAGCCTCTTCTTCATACGAAACATGGCTCTTATCCAAATTATCTTCAATTTTTGCTCCCGTTTCAGCACCTGCTTCCGCTTCAGCTTCTGCCTTTTCACGCTCCAGCGCTCGAAGCTTACGCAACACAGATGACTTGGACGGAACTGCACGCAATTCAGCTTCTTCATAAGGAAGACGTTCCAATAAAGAGTTGATTGACTTGACCAGCTTGCGTTTCCATGGTGTTTGCGATTCCTCGAACCCGGCCCAGATCTTGGCTGCGCGGGCCACCAGCCGGTCATCTAGCCGCGGGGTTTTCCGTGCAGGGACTGTGATGCCGTGATCTGTGTGGGTGCGCTCTGCAAGAGCAGCCTCTAGCGCGGCCGATGTTGGGGTAGCTCCAGAGTCGTGGTCGGCGTGTGCCACTCGGGATAACAGCGTGGGGTCGAGAGCAAGCACACTTTTAGCAGCAGGAGAAGAGATGATTGTGGGAAGATTGTGGTTCACGCAGTGAATATACACTGCGCGCGACGACACAGGCAGTACAATAAATCGCATTGGTAGTAAATCAAAAAGAAAGAATGAATGTGTATATAGAGTGAAATGTTTGTAGTGTTGGGAAAGAAGCAAGAAATGAAAGAAAGAAAAGAAAAAAAAAAAAAAAAAAATGTCAGTTTGGGTTAGGAAAGCGGCGCGGTAAATTTTTTTTTATTACAAAAAACCTTGTCGGGAGAGGCTCTTCCAGCAACTGACGGTAACCTGAGTTTGCAACATTATTTCAAACACCTCTTTTGAAAGCCAAAGCCATAGCTATGCACACACGTGGGGACAATGGCTCAACACCAACGGTTCAATAAATACAACTTGCCATTATAACCAGCTATAGTATATATATATATATATATATAAATCAATAAATCTTCTTCTTTTCATCTACACTAATGGCACCAGGCCCCGAGTTTACCACCAGCAAAAGACCACCAACAATGCTCAAAATCTGAAAGTGCTCATAACGCAAAAAGTCACGCACTGGGTGGCCAGCCTCATAGTCCCAGTACTTGTTGCTAGTAAAGTTGCGCCAGGCAAGCATCAGCACCAGCAATGCTGCAGATAAACGGGCCTTAAAGCCAATGGCCACACACACGCAAGCACTCAGTCCTAGCAGGGCGCCAAAAGTACGGGCCCAGGTTGTAGCGTCACTTAGGGCATATGAAAGATACAAAAACATGAGCAGAATGCGACCAGCTAGTTGCAAATAGCGAGCACGATCCTTGGGTTCTAGCATAGGTAGTCCAGGCATTGAAAGGGCTCTTTTATCTCGTACAAAGGCATCAGAAACCACCATAAGCAAGCCACCGAGAATTGATAAATTGCGAACAAAAAACTGGGCGTTAAATAGCAAACCATAAACTAGGGCCTGGGAGATCACGACAAAGGCAAGTGCTCCCACACCATAGACCAGCTGCTTGTGGGCCACAACGGCTAATGAGCCACCAAACATGCACAGCACATTGAGGGCCAGAAACAGAACCGTAATAAGTTTGGGGACGCCACGGTATTTCCAAATGTAATTGACTTGTGACTGCCATTGAGAAGTGAGACGAACGCCATCCTCGAAAAAGGTAGCCACCATGAGAAACCGGCCAATGGCTGGGAGCCAAGGTTTGATGGGGGCCCCCCACTTGCCCAGTTGTTCATCCAATTGTTCAGAGTATTTTTGCGCAGCCGTCAAAGCATGGGTAGCTCCCTCGCCGAGTTGGACATTCCCTAGGGGACCCAAGTTAAGAGTAGAGCCTACAGAGGTGTATTGGACACCATAGTTAGGGTATGAGCCTGCTGTTGGGTATGCGCTGGCTGATCTGAGCGGCGGGGTAGGAATGTGTTGTTGCGAAGAAAAGGCAGCGGCAGATGCAGGAGCAGCTGCAGGATTGGGGACACCTACACCTGATGGAATCTGGGACGAGGCAGGAGTTGCAGTGGCTGATCCACGAAAGACTGGGGTTGAAGAGGCCAAATTGGGTTGATGGGGTAGCTGATCAGCCATATTGGTAGAGCGTATAAGAAGCAAAAAAAAAAAAAAAGGAAAGAATAATGAGAAATGGGCTTAAGAATAAGAAAGAATTATAAGAAAAAAAATTAATAAATAGGACAGAATTTGAATATATTTTTATAGTTATTTAAAAAAATTTTTTCATAAAAAAAAAAAAGAGTAAGAAAGAAAGAAAGAAAAAAGAAGCAAGAAAAAGGTTTAAATAGTTTTAAACTTTTGGAAAAAAAAAAAAAAAAAAAAAAGAATACAAAAAGGACAAAAATGAGAGAAAATGACACTCAGGCAATAACCTTCTTTTTTTTTCTATTTATTTATTAATGCTGCCTGTGCCATCCGCCGGTATTTTGGTGACTCTCCAGGCTGGTTTTATTTCCTGATTCAGGTTTTTTTTTTTTTTTTTTTTTTTTTTCAATCACTTTTGTATTTATTGAGTGGAAAGATTCAGTTTTGAAAAGAAAAAGAAAAAGAAAAAGTGGCCAATCCCACACGTAATTGGTATTCATGTAACGATCCTTTGAGAACAAAAAGGAAAAGAAATTTATTTCTATTCATTGCGTGCGCGCGAACGCGACAGAGTAAATTTATCGCGTCTATGGTAACGTCTTTGTAGACAATATTGTAGATCTACGTTGTAGACGTTGTCGACCGGTGTCAACCGTGGTTTTTAAGTCGTGTTGATTGCATTTGGTTGCAATTGTCTTTTTTTTTTTTTTTTTTTTTTATTATTATTATATTTTTGCAAATAATCGTGTTTGTGTGTCGTATATATAAACAGACATTTGGAAAAAAAAAAAAAAAGATGTAGTAGAAACTATAAAGCTATTGTAAGAGTTAAAGACAAAAATAAAAATACAAAGATTTTTAGGACTAACTGGAAGGAGGAGTTTTTTTTTCTTTTTTTTTAAATAAAAAAAAAAGAAAAGTAATCTATCCATATATACACATGTTATTATTGGTACATTTTCAAGTTTCACGATATCTTTAATATCTCTCACTAGCAATTTTTGACTGCAGTTCCGATTGTATGATTCAGACAAACAGATCTGGGTTGGTTTCGTTGTGAATCGAAGGTTCCGCTATGAGGTGTGTGTATGTGTGTAGAAGAAACCCTAAATAACTGGCCTTTATAAAAAAAAAAAAAAAAGAAAATCAATAAAAAAAAACAGATTGTCTTAAATAATGTGGAGAAAATAAAATAAAATAAAATAAAATAAAAAATAAAAAAAAGATACTTTTTTTTTTTTTTTTTGGAAAAATTATCTGATAAATTGGAAAATCTATGAAAATGAATTTTCTTTTTTTTTTTTAATTTTTAATTTTTTTGAAATATTATATTTTTTATATAAAAATAATAATTTATTACTACAAATGTAATTTTTTTTTTTTTTTTCAATGTGGTCTATTATAATTAATAATAACTAGACACACAAAACCAGGCAGTTAGACTTAAAGATTTTGATAATATTTCCATCGGCTTTCCGATACTAAGAAAACTAAGGAACCCTTTTTTTTTTTTTTTTTTTTTTTTCTCCTTCTATTCTTATCTAATTTAATATTCAAGATCCATGTGCTCGAAGGTTGAAATTTTTTTTTTTTTTTTTTTTTTTTGATTTTTTAGTAGGTAAGTAAACTAACCAACAAGTTAAACTAGTCTGTGTGTGTGGAGACTTAAACTGCCTGATTTTTTTTGGGATCTACACACACATACCGATTCAGACTAATACATATTGTAGCATTTTATGGGAAATTGCCATAAATAAATATATATTTTTTACAAACAATAATCGCGTTTTGAATCCAAAAAAAAAAAAAAAAAAAAAAATGAGGCACGTGCATATAAACTAATTGCCGCATATATATATATATATATATATATATATCAGCACTAAGTATTATCGGGATTTGTTTAAAAAAAAAAATAAAAAGAAAAAGAAACTATTTATTAAAAAGACTAAATCACGAGGGAACCTTCCATAATAAAAATAATTAAAATGCCAAAATTAATAATTTTATATAAAAAAAAATAATAAAAAAAGAAATTTGAAAATTTTCAAAAAAAAATCACATATATGAGAATAATATATATAAAAAATACTGGTTATAATAACTGAATTTTGATTTGCCATGCAATTGGTCCGGTCATTTTACACTGAGTGCTCTGAAAGCTTCGGTTTTGTTCAGCTTAGAAGGGGGGGAGGTGGTAGAGCTTTTTTAGCATTTGAAGCGTTATATAGAGATTTTTTAAGATTAGAGGTTCAATTTTAACAATATACAATTATAATTGGCATTGGTACAATATTATTGTTTTTGTTAAATAAGTTTAAAATTTCTGTACTTTTTTAATTCATATCCAAATTCAAATTTACATATATATATATATATATATATATATTTTACTTTTTAGTTCTGAATTTCTTGTTAAATTTAACATGATCTGGAATTTTAAAATTATTTTTGAAATTTAAATTTATTTTGAAATTTCAGTAGTGCAAGCTTTAATCACACTCTTCTTCTATTTGAAAAATAAATAACTAAATTTACTTTAAAGTAAACTGATAATAATTAGTTGCAATGTAATTTGCCCACTTAACAGTGCAGGCGATACCGGCCCGTTGTTTTTTTTTTTCATCTCGTTATAGTGAAGAATTGCGCAATGTCCACACGCTGCATTTTTTTTTTTTTTTTTTTTTTTTATTTTGGAGTCGATCGGGTGTTCCGTCGGTGCTTTTAGTCTCAAATCGGTTTGTGGCAATAATAAAAAATAAAATAAAATAAAATAAAATAAAAATAAAATAAAATAAAATAAAAATAAAAATTTTTTTTTTCTTATCAGTACAATCACATGACCAGATGAGCTGCGATGAAGCAGTGCTGCTTCTGCTTCTGCTTCTGCTGCTGAGCTGAGTTGTTTTTAATGAGATGGTTTGTGATGGTTTGTAGTGGTGGCCTATGACTGAATTTTTTTTTTTTTTTTTTTTTTTTTTTTTTTTTTTTTTTTTTCAAAACCTCCATTCCCAAAAAAAAAAAAAAAAAAAAAAGATTTTTTTTTTTTTTTTAATATATAAAACTACTGAAATCCCCCTGCAAGAAATTTTTTTTTTTCTTTTAATTTTAATACATTTCTTTGTTAGACAAAACAACAACTAACTACATTTAATATAAAACTTACTAAACCCCCCTCCTCTAATATATATTTATAAAATACCATTCTTTATTGATTTTGAAATATTTTCTTTTCTCTTAAAAATGCTAGGATTTTATTTCTACTGAGGTGCTCAAATTCCCTCCTAAACCTTTTTATTATTATTATTATTATTATATACTAATTTTTTTTTTTTTTTTACCTTTGCCTATTTACCATCTTTGCGCATTGCATTCCAATCCTCTTTTGGCCACTTTTATTGTATCTTTTCCCTTATATCAATATATATATATATTTCCTCGATAATCACTTATATATATAAAATACCCTTTTATTTGTCAAACCTTTTGAAACATTTATAATCAACAAAAGAAAAAAGAAAAAAGAAAAAACCACTTAGACACAATTAATAAAATGTCTACAGTTCAGGTCTTTTCTACCGAACTCAGCATTCTATCCATCCCCCCAGAATTATATACATTCTTCTTCCATGGCATCACTAAACTTATTCTTCGCTCTTGGGAAGATGACTACCTCCCACCAAGCTCTGCTTCAAGTGGTATCTTCCGTTCTCATTGCATCCCTCCTCATGAATCACCAATAGTCCCTCCTTCTGGACTTTCCTCTTCCATTACAAGTGGCGATAAAACTCCACTAGTAAATGCCTCTTCTCTTTCATCCCCTCAAAATGTTTTCTCTCATCAAAGACTTTATTCAACATCTTCCCGAGTGGACGATTTTAATTCAAACCATAACGACCGCGACCAGGAAATTGAATTCCAACAAGCCATTCGCGACCACATTGAATCCCTTCGAGAATTTATCAATATTTCCTTCACCCCAGTAGAATGTTCAGTCATTTGTCCAACTGAACTAGTCAATCTTCTCTTTGGACCTGCCTTTGCAACACACAAGGCTTCCATACTAAAAGAACACTATCTTGCTATTCAAGTCGATACTACAGGATCAAATAGTGGACCTAACCTTATTGAAATTACTGCACCATTATCAAACGCTGGAATCCCCATCTTTTTCATTCCAACTTACTTTAGTGATTATGTTATTGTCCCCTTTTCTGCTAAAAACAAGGTTACTAGAACCCTTGATGCACGTGGCTTTGTCTTTTCAAATATTGCAAACTCTTATGTCAATGTAACTGGCACTGACACTCCTTCCCCGCTTTCCCCCACAACCCCTGACGTGCACTACAATAATAACCCCCTTGAGTCATCAATATCGTCCCTCCGATCCATCTCCTCGGCTGACTCTACAGAGTCTCGGCCACCACTCCTTGAAGGTGCTCCACTATCTCCATACCTGGCATCGATTGGTGCACAAACTGTTGAGACATTTAAACGCAACTCGGTCAAGCCCGTTATCAATTTCGGTACAAAACTACTGCTCACTGGTATGCGCAGCCGTAGCCGAGGCGGCGCCCAAGGCATTACTGGCGGTCAGCACGATAGCATTTTCCTCTCAATTGTAAACACACTCATCCATCCGCCAGATTTCTTTTCAGTGACAATTGTCAATGGCACCGAGGTCTCCTTCATTGTTAATGAAGAAACAGCTCAGCTCTTTTCCACAGAAGCCCTACTTGGATCCATGACAGATTTCGTGATACCCATCTCGTTTGATTTTAGTAATCTCCCAGAAGATTCAACTGGTATTGTAGCTGGTGTTGCATCTCAACTTTACTCGTACGATCCAGATAAGCCATTCCCCCAGGCTTTTGGAGTGCGTGGAAACAATACATCAGCTCAACCATTTTCTCCATCGAGCAGAAATAGCACTGCATCAATGGGTTCCAGCATTGGGTCACTTACAAGCGAACGCGAGCTAATTCAAATTAGTTATCTGTCAACTGCAAAAACAGGTGTGGTTATGGTCTCAGAGGTGGATATGGCTGTAGCCACTGCTGCACTCTCGGTCTTTATGCACAAGACAAACAAAAATGGAACCAATCGTGGGTCACCTTTAGCCAATGCAGTGTCGACCGATAAAGCAGATTACTATCAAGAAGAAGAAGAAGAAGAAGAAGAGGATGATGATGATGAAGAAGAAGAAGAAGAAGAAGAAGAAGAGCAATGTGACAGTGGACAACAGTCTGCTCAGGATTCAGATGAATATGAGAATAGTAGTGACGAAGAGGAAGATTATGGTGACTCAAATACTAGTCACCCGGCTGGTCCATCAACCTCATTATCGTCATCACACAACTCATCCTCTTCATCTTTTTCACTACACCAACTTCGCGCAGGGCTCCAGGATGAGTCTCCCATTGCGCGTTCTCAGCAACAACCTAGAAGAGACCATTATCAGAATGAGTATTATACCAGTTATAGTTATGGCCATCAATCTCATCAATCTCATCAATCTCATCAATCTCATCATTCGCACAATAATCATCACAATCATCACAATCATCACAATCATTCTCCAGCGGGTACTGCGACATCCAGTCCGCGCTCACGTTCAAAACTTTCAAATAAAATTGACTTTGACGATTAGGGATACTATTTAAATTGAACAAGAAAAAAAAAAAAAAAACAGAGTATATATATATATATATATATAAATGAGAATATAAGATTTTTTTTACTATATTTTCATCTTCCCATATCTATTATTCTACTGCTTTCTGGAATTGTACAGCTCGCGTGATTTTTTCGTCGCAGGCTCAAGTACAGTCTTGTTCCAATCATCCCCAGCAGCAATACGTTTTGCCGTAATGCCACGCACAAGCGCCGTCACAAGACCCGTATAGTTGGCCCGTCGTAGCACGTTTTCACGGCGCCACGCAGCCCGTTTAGCTTCCTCACGTGCAAGTCCAGTCTCATCGCTCACAGCACGTAACGCCGGTCGTGGGTCTGCGGTAAGCGCTAGCAAGTTGAAACGCAAATCACCAGCAGGTGCACGAGAAATGCGGCGCGCCAACACCTCGGCAAGTGTTTCAGGGAACTGAGTATCAGTACATTCTCCGTGGGAAATAGGGTGAGGGTGAAGACCATCGAGCTCATAAAGAGTCCCGTGGACACGTGTATAGGCAATGAAATGGTACAGCCCATCATCCTCCTCATCACGGTCTGGACGATGATCTTTGTCATCATCAAGAACTGCGGGCGGCCGCGAGAAGGAATTATGGGCAGCTCGGATTTGCTCCGAATTAGAGACGGCCTCGCCCTTGAGCTCTGGGTCAAAAGCTGCAACAAAGTCACGGAACTCAGATAATGTTGAACCCAAAAGGTTTGCCACCTGCTCATGGGCAGATGTGCGCTCGGGGAGATTCAGTAATAGAGAAAGCACAGCCTGTGTGGCACATGCATTCTGGATTACTTGGTGTGCGAAAAACACGTCTTCGGCAGCAGTCGCATATTCTCCGTCAAGAGGTTTGGCAGCCCCACCCTCAGCCTGAGTCTTGCGACGCATTGCTTCGAACTCTGACCGTCGGTACTTGAACAAGAAAATGACACCATACAATGGAGTCACTGAGCTTAAAGTGTCAGCATCGATTGACAAAAGTTCCTCAAACTCGAGTCCTTTAACGCCGAGCTTTTCAATCAGTTCAGTAAACACGCCCTTTTAATCAACAAAAAAAAAAAAAAAAAAAGAAATGTCAATAACAAAAAATGTCAATGGTAATTTTAATGGCATGCCTAAAACTTACCGCATCTGATTCTATAGTATTCCAGCCTAATTCTGACATATTCTGCTTTTTTTTTCTGTAAAATCTTTTATTTTATTTTATATTTATTTTTTTTTTTGTGAAAAGTAATATGGTTATTGTACTTGGAGATAGATTATTTATGGGAAATGATATGATTGTGGTCAAGTGTATGGTGGAGTTCATATTTAGGTGGCGGTTTTTTTTTATATAAAAACCTACATTCGCTTATGTAATCAAATTAAATTAGTATCACTGCAATTTTGATTAAAACTACTACTATAGTACAAATAAATAATCTATCAGGATATCATTTTTTCAGAATCCTTTCAATGGAAAATCAATAGTAACATTAAAAAAAATTACTTGTTAATTATATTTAAATAAACAATATTGCACAACCGATATAAATTCATGTCAAAGAAACACCCGAATTGACCTGTTTCAGGGTTGTAAGATCACTAGATGCAGAGTTTTGTTCAACAAAGCTGGTAGAAGCAAGAAAAATAAATTTCGTTTGTGTAAAACAATACATTTATTTAAAGTTTTAATGATTCCACTTGATAAAAACTAGTTTGTTGAACGGTTAAACAGCAAAACAGTGCCTTGTGAAACAAAAAATAATGTTACTTGTTAAAAAAAAAGAAATATGCTAGTTCAAGCTGCTGTCGTCAATAACAGTCTTATTACCTGTCAACTAAAATTCAATCCAATTTCCTTTAAATTCATCTAAAATAAAATAATTAATAAACAATTGAGCTAAAACTTCGGGTGAAGCAATAAGCATTAAAACACTTGTAGGTATATTCTGGATTTCAGACAAACACATAATTTCGGGAATTAAGGTGGTAGTAAGAAAGCTAACAGTACATATTTTTAAAGTGATTGGCAATTCAATGACTCTATAAATAATTAAATAAAAATTTAAAGCCATTCAAACAATAACAAAAAAATATTTGGTATATGTTGTCCATTAGCTACAAGAAATATTTCTGTGGTAACAACCGAAACATTTGAAATCGTGATAACAGTACAAACTAAACAAAGTGTTGATTAACCTGAACTAAATGATTTTTTGAGAATGGTGCAAGTGGTATCACAGAGTTTTTTTAACAGTAAAAATTGAGTTTAAGTAGAATTTGGCATCAGTAGGAACCTCTTTTTGTCGTCATAAGTTTTTTTCTTTTCAAGCATTGTATAATATGAGTTTTAAAAGAAGAACTGCTTGAAATTGATAATTGAACTAAAATTTATATGATACCATTAATGAGCTTAACTATAACTACAACTGTTGCTGATGAGAGAGCAGTAAATTTGGAAACAATAAGCTTGAAGGTGGCATAGACGATACAGCGGTTACAAATAAAAAGAATTTTGAACATTGCAAGTGCCAGGTGGAAATTCAACAGCAATATAAGTAGACTTCTAAAGTTTTGATATTGTGGCTACAATCAAACCAGGTATAGTTTTATAGGTAGTATATCCCGGCTTTTTAGTGATATATGTGAGGCCAATTGAAGATGATAAACTAAAGTAAAAATTAGTTGATTCAAAATGCTCAATATAGTAAATAAGAAAGTAGCGGTTAAATAATGAAACCAGATTCTATTGGCATGTAGGTAGATTCCTAAGAAGGTAGTAAAGTGGTAAAAGATCTAATAGTGAATCAGAAGCAGTACATGTTAACAACGAGTTCTGTAACAGTTATTAATAATATTCCTAATGTTGTATCAGTAGTAAAACCTACTGACCTTAAAAAAAATGTAGTGGCAACTGCTCCAATAATACCTCCAGATACGACAGGTACCTCAATGACCTTATTCCTGTAGGTATTCCTTTGCTCTCCAAAATTGTGATATTTCCTTCAAAACGCTTCAATCTTGAGTAGCAGAGATTCTTTAATAATGAGCTTATTAATTTATACTTAAGTAAGTATAATAATAATGGAAATGACGAAATATAAAAGGGATTTCTGCAAACTAAGGTATTTCTGAGATTGACTAGATGAAGGGTTTGTAAGAAGTTTGATACTTAAGATTTCACAGAAAATCTCTTTTTCTTTTTTGTTTTAATAATAGATTCAAAAGCTTTATCAAAAAAAAAAAAAAAAAAAAACTCCTCAATTTAATCTTCAAGTAAATAAATAAACATTCGACACAAATTCAGTCAAAAAAAAAGAACCAATAAAAAGTTAGTAAAGTAAAAAAAAAATGTTGTAAATAATGATTCTGATACAGTGTAGGCAAAAAAAAATTACATGACAAAAGACTTTATAAAAGGCCTGACAGAACACTCCAAAAATAAATCAACAGTACACTTGACAAAAGATTTAACCAAAAAAAAATTAACAGAAAATTCAAAAGTACAATTGAAAAGAAATTTAACAAAAGATTTAACAAACGGTTTGATGTAAAAAAAGCAAGGGTTTTGATAAGAATTTTTCAGAGCAGATATTTGAAAAAAGATTCAAATTCAAACTTCCTTATTTTATAAGAGAATCCAAGCAAATATCACAGTTCATTTAAGAACTGAACACTTAAAACAAACATCTCACACAATAAAGAGTTTTCCAATAAATATCTTTGTAAATAAAAAAAAAATGATAAAAAAAAATGTATATTTTGTTCTTTTAATTGTACTATCTCTAGCCCAAAAGTGTAAAAATACAGATAGCTTCTGATTTTAAAAAAAAAAAATTGGTTCTGTCTAGTATATTTTTATTGGTAAACTTAAAAACAAAATAACAAGGCTAATACCTCATGGTAGTTTAATGCAATTATCATGGTTTAATCTACACCAGCTGAGCAAAATAGAATCTTAATGTTATTAAAATAATTAGGTAAATTTTTAATAGTGATATGAGACAGTTTAGTCGCAAGGTATAATTACAGGTAAACATATGTATTTTTTATAAGATACATGGTTTTAGTTGAATTTCGTGGTAAGTGTTTAGTGTATCCGTGTTCTTGGAAGTCTTTTTTTGTTATTTTTTTGGTTATTCAATAATAGAGCCTGGTAGTTTTTAGAGCTATTCAATATTCTAATCTTCTAGTATTTATCAAAATAAGTTGTAAAACAAAAATATATACCTATAGCCGATTATGTTCATTTATATATAAATTCTTTACTCATAGCTGTTAAAGGTAAAGAGTCCCCTAGAAAGAATCAGTTAGTAATGATTGATAAATATTCCACTATTCTCGATAATTATTAACTTACCCGCTCCGTGAGTGTCGTGAAAAGTAATCAAAATCTATACTGACGGCTGTTGCAAGTAACACGGCACGCTGATCGAGAGTCATAGGTACTGGAGATACAAGTCCTGGGTTAGCTGTATAAATATCTGGGTCAATAGTTTGAGGGTCCATCTTGAGAATGTAAACACCAGTGTCTGTAAACAATTCACGGCCTAAACCAACCCAGTTACGCTCCACAGACCCAAGCAAAGATCCAGATTCATCTTTCAGGTTGAATGTAAATGCAAGGAATGGCGCGTCAACTGCACCAAACTGGTCATAAGTGTCTTTACCCGTGTAAAGAAACAAATTATATTTGCGGCGCCACAAATGCCACTGTTGTTTGCTTTCACCAACAATTATAGGCTCATAGCCTGGAGGACCAGGTAAAAGGGTCTTGATTCGCGAGTTGATGAGAGAAAAGGAACGTCGAATCTGGCGGGAAAAAAAAAAAATCAGCAAAATATTAAAAAAAATAGAATAAAATAACTTACTGTCAATACATGCTCGCCTTGACGGTTAAGAACACGAACGGAAAAGGGTCTATGCAAACGGTATACCTGACGTAGGATGGCCTTAGTAAAGCCGAAATCTTCTTCTTCCATGTACCCAATGTGGTTTCCTGCAATATCCATAATAGCCTATATTACGTTGTTAGCAACAATCACCTTAACCAAAAAAAAAAAAAAAAAAAAAAGTCGCGACACTTACATATCGGTTTGCTTGTTCAAATCCCTAAAAAACTCAGTTAGTATTCAACTATTTATTTTGAAATCTTATTTTAAATACAAACCAAAAAGAGATTCATAAATTCCATTTGTCGCTCCATGACAAGACAGGGCTGTGACAGGATTTCCGCAACGCCGTGCGAATACTGCAGCACACTTCCGGGGAGAGGGGTTTGAGAAGAAAATTGCGGGTAAGAGTACGACACATTCTGGGCATCGTAGTATTCCTGTTGAGGGCTTGTACTTGGTTCGTCAAACTTGTCATTATTGTTGTAAGGGTCGCGTTTAATTTTGCGTGGCGAATAACTGCGGTGCTGAAGAGTGGCGGCAGCTGCTGTAGCAGCTGTTGTGGCTACTTTAAGAGATGGGCTTGGCTTAACAGTAGAATTGAGAAGCAATGACCCAGCAGCGCGGGCAGAAGAAGTGAGAAGTTTGTTCATAATTGGAAAGCTGGTGGTGTGGATAAAGAAAGAAATGTCTGTAAAAAAGGCGGTACATAAAAAAAAAAAAAAAAAAACCCTCGAGGTGAACTGAATCAAAACGTGGGGCTACGCTGGGTTACCAAGTAGTTACTAAAAAGTATTTTAACATACCCGGTAATTACAATACTCATTTATTCGCAAGACAGAGATATACTGCGAGAAATATTTTCAGCACCTACCGCCAGCCAATGGACTTGTCGATTTGCATGAAAAAACTTTTCTCTCACCCTCTCCATCAGAGCCACCAAAGGTCACGAATTTGATAACATTTCAACCAAATTATTCAATGATTTCCAGTGCCCTCCGTTCTTCTTGCAGAGCCTCAGCAAAGCTGTGCTCTCTTGCATCGCGACAATCACAGCTTGCACGACGAAGCATACACAACCTGCCTCTTTTGGCAAACCAGGCAACATACGAGCAACAGGGTATTCCTGGGCTCTATAGCAAAGAAGGGTTCCGCGATGTGTGGACTGAGTACCAACAGTATCTTGTTGACGAGCTGAGCCGCGAGACAGCAGAGACTGAGCACGAGACACGGACGCCTTTTGGTATTATGCTCAATACTGCTGCCAGTCAGCTTGACGCACCTGTTTTCAACTTTGCATCGCAGGCACACAATAACCATCTTTTTGTGGAGGCACTCAATTCACCCTTGACCAACCAGACACGGCCCAGTCCCAAGCTTCTTGAAGCGATCCAGAAGTACTTTGAGGATCTTGATACCCTCAAGGCCGACATTATTGAGCTGGCCACTCTGCCAGAGAACTTGGCACCCGGCTGGGTGTTCCTGGTGGAAGGTGATGATAAGTCACTTTACTTGACGTATGCTTTCCAAGCTGGTTCACCTTACTTTGCTGGCCGATCTCAGGCATTTGATCTCAACACACCTATGAGCAAGGAGATTGAGGAGACACTTGATAGCATCCAGCTGGACGTTCTGGAGAAGGCTCCTACTTACAATATGCCTTTGATTGCCATTAACTGCTGGGATGTGGCATACATTACTGATTTCAAGGTTGCTGGACGTGAGGCTTTTATTGAGAAAGTGTGGAAGTCGTTGAACTGGGATGTTATCAACAAGAGATTCTACGGTAATTAAGCAATGTCGACTGCGTGTAAATAAAATAAGTTAGAATTGTTTTAATTGTATATATTGTTAAATCTATATTGAGAAGGTCTCGCTAGTTTTCCTTTTTTTGTTTTTTTTTGTTTTTTTTTTGAATAAAGGATGAATGAATGGGTATTAATGTTTGAGAGTTGTATGAAATGAAACTGGGACTTTTAATAGTGCAAAACTCGCCTCCAAGAAGTACAAAGGTCCGCCTCCTTTGTTGCTGTTTCTGTGGGAAATTAATCAATACATAGACACTAGCAGTCACGATGGATATTGTTTAATATAAGAAAAAAAAAATTAATAATAACCAAGATAAGGAAAGAGCAGCTCAAAAAAAAAAAAAAAAAAAAAAAAAAAAAAAATGTTGAGTTCAATACAAAGATTCCTAAACAGTTTCAACTTGGGTGGACTAATTCTGGGTATTTAGGAATCTTTAAGATCGGTTAAGGTAGTGGTGGTTGAACAACAAAAAAAAAAAGCAACAAATGGAGGTATTTAAAGTGTAATAATTCAATTGGCAAAGTTTGATTTGACTCAAAGAAATAAAGAAAAATTGGTATATTTAAAGGATGTTTAATATAAGTTTGTTGTTTTTGGCTGAAGATGATGATATAGTTATTTAATAATAATTGGAATAAAGAAAAAGAAATAAAATAAAATAAAAAATAAAATAAAATAAAATAAAATAAAATGCCAGATTTCGATTTTTCAAAAAAAAATGAAATAAATGAAAATAAATAAATAAAAAAAATAAGAATAATTAAAGTTTTCCCAAAGTTCAACGCCTTGCAAAACTCCCAAGTTTCCAAGGCAGAGAAGAAAAGTTGGCTTAAAATATAATTATAATAATTATATATTTTTTTTAAAAAAATAAAATAAAAAAAAAATAAAAAAAAAGTGAACAAGAATTGATTTCATATTTAAAACTTTTGCAATTTGAAATTTTATTTTTTTTAAAAAAGAAGATAGCCGTTTAGTTTTAAATACTAAAGAAATCGGATAGCATAATTATTATTATTATTATTATTATTATTATTATTATTATTATTATTATTATTATTATTATTATTATAAAGCTTATCATGATGATGATGCTTTCCCACGTTTTTAGTAAAATAATCAAAATGTGCTTTGTTAAGTTATCAGGAGGGGGGAATTTCCGGATATGGCTAATTATAATATTTCAAATAGTTGTCATCTTTTTTTTTTTTTTTTTTTTTTTACTACAATTTAGATATCGAGAATGGAAGTTTTCTGGAAATGAGAAAAAAAAAAAGAAAAAAAAGATTTTGTTTAAACTTTTATCAATTATTTTCTCCGGAATTAATTGATCCTAAAGTCACTTTTTAGAATTCGTCAAGACAATTCATCATCATCAATTGCTCATCTACGTTTGTTTAGTTACAAAAGATTTTACTTTTTTTTTTATTTTTTCTTCACTGAACCGAATATGGGTAAATAAATAAATAAATAAATAAATTAAAAGATACTAAAGTCCTAGTATATACGACAAGTATAAACCACCGCCACCAACGTGTACTACTAAACTTTTGTTTATTTTTTATTTTATTTTATTTTCTTTCGGTTATTTCAAACAAATATCTCTTTTCACATTCACCCAAGTTCAACCTGAATACGAGATTATTCCTTTTCCTGTCGACGTGCAGCATCTTTCTCAAGCACCCTGGGCGCCGGAGGATGAGTACCATCACTATTTCAAAAAAAAAAAAAATTAAAAAATAAATAAATAAAATAAATAAATAAATAAAAATAAATAAATAAAAAGAAAAACTCACTCACTCACTCACTCACTCACTCACTCACTCGAGCGCGCGTCATTATTCCCTTGTTTAGCGTAGCCGTACTTGTTATGGTGATATTAACTATCTTCGTTGGTGACTGCAAAAGAAGATTTTGTTGTTCTGCTTTGGGTGCTTGTGCGATTCTATAACCACGTAGGCTTAGCAATAATATTAATATCAATTACTTGTCTAGGAAGCAACATGATAATACTATGGATGAATATCGAAGTTGCGCAAGATATCAAAAAGTCTGATGTTTGTTTTGTTTTTTTTTTTTATTTTAAAGCGGTATCCGAGAAGATGTTTTTTTTTTTTTTTTTTTTTTTTTTGATTTCTATAATATATAAAGGACATTTTTAAAAAAAAATGTGCCCGAGAATTCAGCCATCTTCTGTTTCCAGTCTAGTTAAATCTTTAGAAATACTATATTTAGAATCCACAAAAAATGCTAGCTGTATATATATGTAAGGCATTTGACTACAATAGTTGTTGTTTTTTTCTTGCTTGTTGCATAAATATTTTGATTTTACAAATAAATCTTTTAATTGTTTATAATAATAATGTGGAAGATCCATACCAAAAGTTTAAAAAAAAAATTTTTTGATAAACGAGAAGAAAAAAAACGAAAAGACAAACTTTTCCTTAGAATCGGTTATCATGTCAATATCTTTAGTTAAAGAATTGAAACTTGATTATTGCATATTGGCGCTAGTTATTATATCTATGAGAGAATGAATATTATAGTGAATGGTCTTACTATTATATATTAGTAATTAAATGCTTAGAAGTTCTTAACGGCTAATGTGCGTAATACATACTAAATTGGTAATTGGTAAACACCATATACTTTTCTGTGACAAAAGTCTTTGAAACTAATAACTAGCGAGAGCGTCAGCAAAGAAAATGGGAATGCAAGTAGTAGCTTCTTCTATTTATAAGTCTAAGGTTTACCACTTTTGGCTACAACTTCACTCACAAGAATGTTGGCCAAAGCCTTTTGTCTAAAGAAGGTTTGTATATTTATATATATGTTTATATATATTTATAAATATATTTATAAATATATTTATAAATATTTCATCAACACCAAGTGCTACACGTTGTGATGTGTGGATATCCGTGGTGAGCAATGTGATATCTAAGACATTAAGAGAATGTCTAAAAATTCCCAGGTAAGTTTCAGGTGATTTTTAAACCTTGAATCAATAACTCTTGTCTCCTTTTATGACAGAATATTGTAAAAACTAAAAGAAATATTTATTTCTGCTACCACCGTTATTACAACTACTATTCAAAAAGCACTCTAATATTAGAAACGGGTTAACGCAGGCGTAAGTTAGGAATGTGGAAATTTCTAAACTCATTTTTTACTTGTTCTTCTTCCTCTTTTTTTTTTTTTTTTACTTCTTTTTCTTTAAATTTTTTTCTTGAATTTTGAGCTTCCAAGAAAAAAAAAAAGTATCAAACCTTCCTATATTCTCTTCCGTCACATCTCCGTCTTCTGCTTAAACGAAGACACTTTATTGAATGTTAATTGTATATATAAATGTTTTTGAATCAAAAAAATGAACTTGAAAAAAAAAAAAAAGACTTGGACATCTTTGTTTAGACTCAAACAAAGACACTAGGCCAAGATGAAAAAAAAAGAAGGAGATTAAACAGTATATGAATAAGGCGGTGGAGGAATGAATCCAAGACTCTCCAAGGTTGTTCTTGTTGTTCTTGTTGTTCTTTCTACAAGGGATATTCAATTCAATTCAATTTTTTTTTTAATAAGCTGGTAATTACAGTTTAAGAGCAAATTTGCACCACTAAACGGCTCTAAGAAAACTAGGGAGGAGGGAAAGTAAAAGTGAAATCGACACTTAAAAAATGCAAATTAGAAAGAAAAAAAAAAACCAATAAACCTAGTTGAGGATTAAGATTTTTTTTTTTTTGTCTTTTTTTCTTTTTTTTCTTTTTTTTATTTTAAAGAATCGCCTTTTTTTAATATAAGAGGGAAAAAAAAAAACTTCTTAACCTTTATTGAAAGAACTCTTATATTCTTTGTCGAAAAGAAACAAAATTTCTTTCAAAAAGAAAAAAAAAGTATAAAGTGGAGAAGGATGAAGAAAGTTGATTAAAAAAGCGACAGGTGAATGAAAAACATATGATAATCAGAGACAATCACAGTTCTCTCTCTCTCTCTCTCTCTCTCTCTCTCTCTCTCTCTCTCTCTCTCTCGTCTCTCCACATGCAGTTCTTATAGAATAAGACATTCTAAACGAGATTACACTGTAGTTCAAAAGAGTATTGAGATGTATGTAATTGACTTCAATAACGAAAAGGGTCTTGGCTTAATTGTGGTGAGATCTTATGGGAACAGTTTTGAATGAAACTTGAAGCCTGGAAAGGAACTTCAAAGTGTGGAGAAATCGGGTACCTTAATTTTTTTAATGAAGGTCAGAAGGTCTTTTTTTTAATTCTTTTTCAAAAAGAATTAAAAAAAAAAGACGATCAGAATTACAACCGATTGGGAAAAGGAAACAATAATAGAAAAAGGTAAAAACAAAGCTTCATTCAAATTCATGCAAAATTTGGGACTGTACCTGTTGACCGGTTTTTTTTTTTTCTTATTTTATTTGTTTGCTGTTTATAAATCTACATTTCCTCACAATTGTATTTAATCAAAGTCTAATAATTTGAATATCTTCCTGTTAGAATGAATGAAAATGAACAAATTTGAATTTTTAGATTAATTATTATTATTATTATCAATTGTGATGTATGTTTTGAGCACGGGATTTTTAGTATTACTTAATAGAAGAACGGTGGAAAAATTAAAGGACGGAAAATAAAAACGAGAAAAGAAGGAAAAAAAAATTGGTTTTTATAAGCCTAATTTGAATAAAAAATGACGGAATTTTATACAGTGAATAAAAATAAAAATAAAATAAAAATAAAAATAAAAATACAAAGCCAAAGTATGCACATTAACACGCGCATACATAGGTATAGACTCAATTCATATTCAATTTTGAAATATTTAGCATGAATAGTGTGGAGATGAGATTAAAAAAAAAAGAGAAGAAGAAGAAGAAGAAGATATAGAGAAAACTTGAGTGGCAGGTCGGAAAAAAAAAAGGAAGAAGAAGAAGAAGAAAGTCCTGATAGTGCATGATGAAGATCTCTTAGATTAATTTCTAAAAATAATCAACGTTTATTTACAAAAAATCAAAAAAAAAAACAGTTTTCCCAAGATTGACTTAAAATGATTATAATTATACTTAATTTTTTTTTTTTTTTTTTTTTTTTTGGTGGTAGAATATTATAATTCATTATTTGGTATATAGTGATTTAAGGCGGTTCAAATAGGGGAGGAGTAATAAAAATAAAAAGAAAAATATATGGCAAGCCATGTTAAGACGTAAAAGAAAAAATAAAATAACAAAAAAGCAGCTCAACTTTATAACAAAAAAGAAAGAAAGAAAGATAAAGGCTTATTGATTTTGTTGTTGATAGCCAATATGAATATGAATATGAATATTATTATTATTATTATCTTAAGTGAGTTGGAATAGAACGAGGCTGTGGATAAGTTGAACCCAGCCAGATCCAAGAAAGATATGTTAATATAGAGTTTCTTTTAGGAAAATATATATATATATATATATCCGAAGTTTTTATTTTTTCATTTATTTATTATTTTTTTTTTTTTTCCTCATTTTAAAAAAAAAACAAAGACTTTTCAGTTTAAATATGAATACTAAAAATGTGTGAATATTTGAATTTTTAATGAAAATTATCAATTGCAAATCATTCACTCAATCACAAGCATTAAAAAAATTGAGTGTGTAGAGGGGTAGGCGAGGTGAGTGTCAGGGTGGGTTGCTGTGGTTGTGTAAGGTAGTGGTGGAGGGGAGTTAGTTCATTTTATTTCATAATTAATAAAAATAAAATAAAAATAAAATAAAATAAATATAAAATATGATTTTAAAAAAATAATTAAATAAATTTGTCTTCAAAAGGCATATCGACCACCAAATGCAGGGCAGCCCATAACCAACATTTATGATTAACTTTTAAATCATATTGACCCAAAAATCAAATTTCAAATCTATATAAAAATTTAAATCCGTCTAAAGAAAAGAAAAAAAAAAAAAAAAAAAGTATAAATAATCCTTTAGTCCCCTTTCTTTAGAGAATTTTTTTTTTTTTTTTGTTCCGATTCCTTTTTTTTCTCTTTTACTCTCTTTAAATATCTACACTCCTTTATATAATCAATAAATATTTTCAATATCAACATTATCCCAGCATAATCTCATACAACCCCTCGATACTTTAATTCTATTGACCCTCTCTCTCTCTATATATAAATATATCTCTCTCCTTCGTCACTTCCTTTCTTTCGTTTTCATATACATTTCTCACCTATGTCGCCGAGCTTCAAACTAGCTGCCTCACTGGCACTCCTTTACTTGACGTCGTGGGTCGCCGCAGTACCTCTTGCAAGAGCCCCTCAAATTAATAAACGCCAAAACTATCCTGGATGGAATTACGACTCTGATAAGGTTCGCGGTGTCAACATTGGTGGTTGGCTTGTTTTAGAACCGTAAGTTATAAAAAAAAAAAAAAAAAAAAAAAAAAGAGAAATACCTTGTATTATATTGTAAGGTAAGACATTTCATTTCTAATCAATTTTTTTTTTTTTTTTTAGATACATTACACCTTCTTTATTTGAGGCTTTTGGTTCGGACGAGTCTCAGATTCCAGTTGATGAGTATCACTATACACAATATCTTGGAAAAGATGAAGCTTCAAACCGTCTCAATCAGCATTGGTCGACCTTTTATACTGAACAAGACTTTTACGATATTGCATCCTACGGCCTCAATCACGTTCGCATTCCCATTGGCTACTGGGCTTATATCCAGTTTGACGATGATCCCTATGTGTTTGGTGCCGACATATATCTTGAGCAGGCCATTGGCTGGGCCCGAAATGCTGGACTTAAGGTATGGATTGATTTGCATGGTGCACCTGGCTCACAAAATGGCTTTGACAATTCTGGTTTACGCGACTCTATCAATTGGCAAAATGGCAATAATGTGGACATTACACTGAGCGTTCTCAACATTATTTCACAAAAGTATGGCACTGAAGATTACTCTGATGTGGTTGTTGGTATTGAATTGTTGAATGAGCCATTGGGTCCTTCGCTTGACATGTCGCGTGTTAAGGACTTTTACTTGCAAGGTTATGATGTGGTGCGTAACTCATCTCATGAACGTGCTGTGATTTTCCACGATGCTTTCCAGGCTCTCAATTACTGGAATGGTGATGACTTTATGCGTCTTCCTGACTATTACTTTTCCATTTTGGACCACCACCAATACCAGGTGTTTAGTCCTGGTGAGGTGTCTCGCAGCATTGACGAGCATGTGTCTGTTGCTTGTGGAATTGGAAGCTCGATGCAGAGTGAGTACCACTGGCGTGTCACTGGTGAGTGGTCGGGAGCTTTGACTGACTGTGCTAAGTGGTTGAATGGTGTTGGTCGTGGTGCTCGTTATGATGGATCGTATAATAATAATGGTCAAACTTCGTACTGGGTTGGTAGTTGCGACTGTCGTCAGGATATTACTACTTGGAGTGACCAGGCCAAGGCTGATACTCGTAAATATATTGAGGCTCAGTTGGAGGCTTATGACCAAGGTGCTGGTTGGATTTTCTGGTGCTACAAGACTGAGACTACACTTGAATGGGATTTTAAGAGACTTGTTGATGGTGGATTATTTCCTTATCCTTTTGATCAGCGTCAGTATCCCAATGTGTGTGGATTTTACTAAAAGGGAGAATAAATTTTATGAGAGGGATTTTAATGAATGTTTATGACTATTTTTTTTTTTTTTTGGTGATAACTAAAAGAAGATTTGATGATTATGAGAATGAATGAATGAATAATAATAATAATAATATTGAGAATATTAAAAAAAAAATTATATTTTTTTTTTTTTTTGGGGGGGAAGGGGATTTTAAAAAAAGCTTTACATCTATAGAAACTGAAGGTATTTTTGGGGTAAAAATAATAATTAATAAAAAGTGTAATTTAAAAAAAAAAAAAATAATAATTTTTTAACTGATACAAGTAAAACAGGAGCTTATACACTAGTATATATACTAAGATTTTGGTATATATATATATATATATATATATATATATATACTACCCAATTTCTTTATCAGTTTAATTAAAGAGTTTAAAGGAGAGAGAGAGAGAAATAGACGTGGCTGCCTTGTGGCTTCTGTTTGGTGTTATTTGGTGTTATTTGGTGTTATTTGGTGTTGCTTTCTGCTTTTGCTTCTGCTTCTGCTGCTGCCTTTATTTTGTTTGTTTGTTTGAAAAGATTAGTATATCAACAACTAGTGCTACATTTTCTTGATTCTAAAAAAAAAAAAATTTTTTGATTATTTTGAAATGGACTAAAAAAAAAAAAAAAAAAAAAAAATTATGAACCTCCTCCTCCTCCTACTCCTTCTCCTCCAATCTACAATAATGATAAGAAAAAATAAGAAGAAATTAAAAAAAAAAAAAAAAAAAAAGGATATGTTATTAATAATAGTGATAATAGTGATAGTATTATTATTATTATTATTATTATAATTTTTATTAGTTTCTAAATGATAAAATAAAAAATAAAAAAACGCCTATAAAGGAATTACGTTTTTTCTAAGGACCACGTCAAACAAGAGGTTTCTTTTAAAAAAAAACCTTTTTTTTTTTTATTAATATAAATAAGATTGTGATTATTATATATATATATATATATATATATATATATACCTCTTTGTGTTCTGATTAAAGAAGGTCGGACCGGGTCTCGGAGCATTTCCTTCTTTTTCTTCTTTTTCTTCTTCTTTTTATTTGTTTTTGGTTGACTTAGTCATATTAAATATATAGATATATAAAGTTAGACATCTAACATAAAAAAAAAAAAAAAAAAAAAAAAAAAAAAAAAAAAACACACACACATGGTTAAACATCTATACAATGCTCTTTTTTTTTATTTATTTCTTTATTTATTTCTTTCTTTCTTTTTTATTTATTTTTTGATTAAATTGATTCTAAAATAAATATAATTCTATGATATCATAGAATAAAAAAAAATTAATAATAATAATAATTGAATTGTCCCGGTCGGCGTTTGTATATATATATATATATATATATATATATATATATATATATGCCAAGATTTGGACCGATATCAAAAAAAAAAACTTCTATTATGCTTATGTAACAATAATTAAAGTTTAAATTCGTGTTTTTTTCGTGTGTCGTTTTAACAAAAAATATTAAACGCGTTGATTCTTGGCTTTTTTTTTTTTTTTTTTATTTTCTTGATATTTCAACAATTGTGGTTGATTAACTAATTAATCAAACCAGCTGATATAATAAAATCTCTCCACCAACCCCTGCGTTACAAAAAAATAAAAATAAAAAAAAAAAACTTTAATAACCTTGTTGGACTTTTTTTCTCGAAACACCGCCCACCCAGTAATGATGTCACTTTTAACTAAATAACTAATTAGTTTTAACATTTTTAACATAACAATTATAATTGATTGATTAATTAATAGAATAACAAATAATAATAACAATAATAACAAATAATAATAATAATAACAATAAAAAAAAAAAAATATATATATATATATATAATATACACTATTAATAACAAAAAAAAAAAATTAAAATAAAATAAAATACATGTTTTCTTTAAAAAAAAAAAAAAACTCCCTTCAAATTAAATTTTTTTTTAAAAGTCCTGAGACTCAAAAAACTCCTCAAAAGCATCCATTACCTTCTTGCACAGCCCAGAAGTCAATGAGTGCCCATCAAGCCATTTAAGTGACCGCGGACCTTCCACAAGAACCACCGCCCAATATCGTACACGACGTTCATAAACCCCCATTACATCTTTATTCTTATAATCTCTTTCTTTTTGTTCTTCTTCTTCTTCTTCTTCTTCTTCTTCTTCTTTATCCTCATCTTCATCTCCATCAATCCCTCTATTATCAACCAAAGCAACATGCTCCAAAAATGCAGCATCTGCAGACCGCCAAATTCGTTGCCCACGACCGCCCAGAGCATCAACATACACGCTCGCCACACTTGTCTTGACCACACTTTCTCCATGCCTATTACTTCCATCTCCTGGTCTTCTAGACCGTGATGACAAAGACTTTTGTGCACTCGAAACGGCTGCTGTGGCTGCCGAGGAGCTCCTCGCTTGGCGCGGCTGTTCTGAAACATGCCTAGACAATGATGATGATGATGATGATGAAAACCTTCCTCTTTCCTCACCTTTTCCATCACTTCTGCTAAATGCTTCCAAAACTGTTGCAACAACGTGACGTCGTCGCCGCCGCCGCTGTTCTTGTCGACTATGATGTCTCTGGTGATACTGCTGCTGCTGTTGCTGCTGTTGCTGCTGTTGCTGCTGTTGCTGCTGTTGCTGCTGTTGCTGCTGTTGCTGCTGTTGCTGCTGTTGCTGCTGTTGCTGTTGGCCTTGAAAATACCCTCCAGTACTGCTTCTCTCAGACCCAACCTCCACTTCAGCAACAACTGCGCTTCTTTCAGCCCGCTCGACACCCTCTAGCTCTGTTCCAATTGCATTAGTAGCAGCACTCGCAGATCGTAACGTTTGCACAACATCTGGATAAATTTTTGCCGTGACAGGGTTCCCTCGAAGGTCCAAGATCTCAAGCGATGGGTGTGCTGGGTCTGCATGGACATTTGCTCCAACGCGTTGTTTTTTCGCCGCAAGAAACGTGGCAACTGCATCCAGATCACGCACCTTGTTACCATATAGAAATAATCGCTCGAGAAGTGGCATGCGCATTCCAAAAACATTAATCAAGTCACCGTCTGATAAGGCATTGAGTGCAAAATTGGCCACACGTAGATTTGGAACGCAGTCGGCAAACTCAGGGCTTAGCCCCGTGAGACCTTGGCCGGGAAGTTCTAATGTTTGAAGATTCATAAAATAGGACGGAACAAGCGCGCGTGGCAAGTTCTCAGGTCGATCAACTTTAGACAAATTGTGCGGCCGAGAAGTCGTCCATGGAATTAATCGTAAATCCTTGACATTTCGCAGAAACCCAAGCTGTGTCCATGACCCATGGGCTATTGACTTCTCTCCACTATCTTTTGCAAGATCAGGCATTCCAGAGAAATGAATGCTCAGCGTTTCCAAGCCACTCTTGATTACAGCAGTTGTGGACAACGCTTCATCATCGGCCCCACGTTCCAGACTCTCAACCACATGGCCTAGCTTTAACCCTGCATTGTACTCAAGATGAAGAACTCTCAGATTTGGAACCAAGTCCAGGCGAAGGTCCCGTTTAGGATTCTTACTAGCTTGGCCCAGTAAATTGTTGCGAGCAGAGAGTCTAAGTAAAGACTTGCCATTTACAATTCCGGGTTTATTATTGTCCAAGGGTATCATGGAGACTCCAGTTCCTGCCCTCTCCTCTCCATTAGAATCTGTAGGTTTAACTGCGCGTACCAATTTGGTACTGGAAAATTTCAAATCAGTCAAAAGATTATCATCTGTAGAAAAAGTTTTTTAGTCTTGGGGAGGAAAAAAAAAAAAGTATAAATAAATAAAAAAAAAAAAGAGATTTCTCATTATCAATCAGTAAACGACTTAGTCACAAATGGTTTCAAAAAAATTACACAAGCACAGTTCAAACTGAAAATGAACTTTTTGTTGATTCACATTGGGGTATTTTGACCATCAAAAAAAAATAAAATAAAAAGAAAGGAAAAAGAAAAGCTTCATCGTGATGCGGCGCTAAATAAGGTATTTCAAAAAAAAAAAAAAAAAAAAAAAAAGATTACCGCACTGTCATAATAAAAAAAAAAAACCTTCCAAACTCAACATCTCCTTTTGACTCACACTGTGGATATAACCCATAATAAAACATAAAAAAAAAAAATCAAAATTTCAGTGCATTGCAGAAAAGTGGTGGTGTGTCTCTGTTCCATCGGTTTTTCTAGACAGGAATCTCAGTCAAATAATATCATTCAAAAAAAAAAAAAAATAAAAAAATAAAATAAACCATCATGAAACCATTTGCGTGTGCTTGTGTAACCATCTTAAAAAAAAAAAAAAAAACCAAATTGACCTTGATCTTGACGATAACGATGACGATGATGATGAGAAATCAATTATTTTTATTTAAATTTTTTTTTTTGATCCCCCCCCCCCACCCTCAAAGTGTTAGTAAACTCAATTCAAAAAAAAAAAATAATAATAACTCCAATTTTTTTTTTTTAACTCACCAAGATTCAAACACGTCAACTGCGGCAAGGAAAATACATTAACCACAGAAGAGATTCTGTTTTCACGCAAATCCAGTGATGACAACCGCGATCGGGCCCCAAACCCTGTGCCATACTTGAGATCAAGTGTGCCTGACAATTTATTTTTGTTTAGCTTAAGTGTTTGCAATTCAAACAATTCTGTTGCAAACCCAGATCCTGCACGTTCATGATTATTATTATTATTATTATTGTTGTTGTTGTTGCCGTCATCATTTTTATAATTGTCGTACTTGTCGTCATGCCCAGAAAGCACATCATCCTCCAAATCCCCAGGAAATATTGACACACTGCGGATCCCACAGCCCTCCACATTAAGCTCTGTGAGCTGGGTCAAATGTGCAACCCCAACAAGGGCACACATCTCCGGGTTATAGGACAAGTCCAAATACCTTACCTTTGTGAGTCTTCGAAGACCACCAATTGTTGCAAGTTTCGTAAGTTTGTTGTGAGACACATTAAGGGCACGTACAGACGAAGGAATCCCCAAGATGTTGGTCAGTTTGTTGCGCGAAACATTGAGCTCATACAACCGCGGACAAATTGCAGAAAGATCCATCAGTGAATCCAAATCAGAACTTGATAAATTCACATGGGTAAGAGTATCCCACGACACAACACCAATATTTGAAAGACTCTCGTCACTAGGGCTTCCAGAGTCCAGAGCTGAAAACGACCCAGGTTGGTACCGATCGGTTAACACTTGGACAAGCCGAGACTTATTGTGGTGGTACGACAGATCGCCAATCATAGATACGCGTGTAGTGTTTCGAGGAGTATTTGATCCTGAGCGGGCATGTCTTGTTGAATCATCAGCGCCTGTAGTGGCCACCCCAGGGTGTTGTTGTTGCTGTTGTTGTTGTTGTTGTTGTTGTTGTTGTTGTTGTTGTTGTTGTTGTTGTTGTAGTTGGTGTTTCTCCAACCCGTCGTTCTTCAACTGCAAGTACGATACCTCATCTGGGGCATTGAGACTCACATCATTACTGCGGCCTGCCATTGTTGGTGTTTCTGTAAACCCAGTCACAGACCGACCAAATACCTGGAACAAGCGGTTGGCCAGCTTAATGCCATCGTGAGTGGGCCTTGCCATGGAAAAGGAAATGCTTTGTGAGTACCCTCCATCACCACTACCACCACTTGTATGCTCGCGGTCGTAGTCGTGGTCGTGCTTATATTCACTTTCATTCTCGCCTTGATCAAGTGTCAAGATAGTATGATGATCAACATCTGCAGATTTCGCAAAGGGACCTATTATAGACCCTCCACCTCCTGCAACGGCTGTAGTTTCCGAAGAATTGGCCTGTGGTAGTGCAGTCTTGGATTCCTCAGGTGTGTTTGTGCTTCTTTCTGCAATTGGGTCTAGTGATTGATGCTGGTGGTGATGATTTTGTAAATGCTGGTGTTGATTGTAATGATGCTGATTATGATTATGATTATGATGCTGATTATTATTATGATGATGATGTTGTTGTTGTTGTTGAGGTACACTTGGCAGTGGCCGATGATAATGGTGATGATGCTGGAAATGTTGGTGCTGCTCCGTGGCTACGGGAATGTGTGACGGTTGAAGTGCCACTTTCTTAATCTGTTCCGTCATGTAATCCGAGTGCACCGATCCGGAAGTTACAGATGTGGCTTCTGTGTTTGTTTTAGTATTGGTGGTCCGTAGAGAATTTACCGAACTATGGTCACTGGTATTTCTCACTTTTGCAGTTGAAGGTAACGAAGAAGACAGCTGTGGAGGCATTGGTCGCGGCCCCCGTTTGTCCTTCATGTAAGCTTGAGTGCCACGCGAGCTTTCTAGGTCGTCAATTCCGGAGAAAACGTCCACTTCCTCAGAAGAGTACGAATTAAAGTTAGGAGTCGCTGTTGTTGCACTTGTCGATACTGTATTACTCTTGTACTTAGCGGTCCCTCCATCCAAAGACAATATCTTGCTAGTCACAGTGGCTGCTCTTAGTGTCCCGTTATTTGTTTCTCGAGATCCATGGCGAGGCGTTTGATGAGGATTGTTGTTGCGGTTGTTGTGATTATTATGATTAATGTGATTGTTGTTGGTGTGATTGTTGTTGATGTGATTGCCACTATATTTATTGTTATTGTTATTGTTATTGTGGTGATGATGATGGTGGTGACCTTCACCATGTTTATCGCTGACTTTGTACCACGCTAGAGCCTTAGAATCAAACTTCATAGACCCCACTGTTTTAGGAATAGCCATGGCCACTTCGTCTGTCCGCAAAATGACACCCATGTTGCGGCGACCCTGTCGTTCAGGTGATTGAGGTGCTGAGCTTGTATTAGATCTCGGGTGAACTGGGCTTTGTAAATGTTGCTGCTGCTGTCGCTGTTGTGAAACCTCCTTCTCTTTTTCTTTTTCTTCTTTTTCTTTTTCTTGATTTTGAGAATGAATAATTACAGATGGGTATCTTGATGGAGACAAAGGCCTTGAAGCAGTTGACGTTGATGATCCACCGTTAGCAACTCGAGCAACCATAGGCAAGTTAGCATTGCTTGCCGAGTTTGGGGTACTTGTTGCATTAAAAGATGCACTCACATTTCCGGTGCCATTGATAAGTTTAGCTGCAATCACAGACGAAGTTTCTGTTTCAGAAGCATACGAAGATGTTGTATACTCAACCTCCTCGCTCTCTGCTGCAAACACGCTGCCAGTGTTGGATGAGTATGATGGAGGGATTTGGAGCCGGATTTTGGCCATAATTTGGTCAGCTCCGTCGAAAAAGTCCTGTGTGGTGAACCCACGTCTATCTGCAGAGTTGCGAGTTTCGTACTTTGAAGAAGACACTGTTGAATACTTTTGCGTATCCATGTTGGATGGAGCGTGAATATCGCTGGATTCTTCATAATCGCCGCTTTCTTCAATATATTCACTTTCGTCTTCGTATTCTCCTTCTTCTTCCCCTAACTCTTCCTCTTCTTCATCTTCTTCTTCTTCTTCTTCTTCATAATCGTCGTCATCATCGTAGTCGTCATCGTCATCTTCATATTCCTCATCAGCATGACCTTCAGACTCGGCATGTTGTAGATGCTCTAAAATATCTCGATTCTCTTTCCCCTCGGGGCTTCCATCGGCCCCAAATGCACCCAAAAGGTCATCGAGCCGCGCATTAGTGTACGCATCATTGCGTGCGAAAAGTTTAAGACGCGAGGCAGAAGATTCAGTTGTAGTAGTAGTAGTGTTTGAAACGGCACGTGAGTGCGGAACCATGGCTACTCCATCCTCAGAGTATTCAGAGCTTTTATTTGGACTGCTATACGAGTTTGTTTGGTCAAGGCTTGTGTCGTTACTGCTTACATTCGAATGTTGCTGTTGCTGTTGTTGTTGTTGTTGTTGTTGTTGTTGTTGTTGTTGTTGTTGTTGTTGTTGTTGTTGTTGTTGTTGTTGTTGTTGTTGTTGTTGTGGCTGCTTCTGCTTCTGTTGGTGTTTTTGTTTTTGTTCTAGTTGTTCTTGTTGTTGTTCTTGATACGCCTGCAAATAAATGCTACTATTACGGTGCGCCATGCGATGGTCAACTGTCGGAGGATCAAACAACTGCTGGAACGCCGGCTGGCCAGAAGATTGATTACCTGCTCCGGAACGATGTTGTTGCTGTTGTTGCAAAATGTTATTCTTTTGCATCCGTCTTTTCCACTGTGGAGTTTGTGCTCTGACCTTATTTTTGCGAGGTTTTGCTGCTCCCAGAGGTCCAGTTCCCATCGGACCGTTGGTTGAATTTTGTTTCTGGTTATGTAGCTTGGTCGTGCTCATATCGTCTTCAGACCCGGCCGTGGCCGAAATCCCTCCTTCAATTACGGTTCCAGGCATTGACGTGGCAGTAAATGTACGATGGCTTGTACTGCTACCATGACTGTTGCTGTTGCTGTTGCTGTTAATATTAATTACTGTCCCCATGTTTGCGTTAGTGACGGTGCCTATGGGAGACCGGACACCAATTATGTCAGTACTTGCACCGCTCCCAATGGCTGTAGCTTTGGTAGACTCTGCACCATGGCTGGAGTCTCCATCGACAGAAGAAGAAGACCTTTTTTGTTCTGCGCGGAGTGACTGGCCAGGGTCTGGGATCCATTCTTCGTTCAGGTCTTCTTCTTCTAGCCATTCCATAGGATGGCTGATATCAAAAGACTTTCCAGAGTGTTCTAAGCCTATCAAAATGTCCGGACTGTTGTTGTTATTGTTGTTGATATCATCGTCGTCTTTGTTGTCGATGCTGCCGCTATGGCTACCGCTGCTGCTGCTTGCCATATGAGAATTTAAATAAAAGGTCTCTCTTTATTTTCTTTGTCACCCTCAGAGTAGATTCCACGCTAAGGGAATAAAGGATTCTAAACAGATTTGGTATTGAAAAAAAAAATGGAAAGAATGAGATAAAGAAAGAATGAATGAATTTGTTCAAAATGTTTATATTTGTTGATGATATTTTGGGCGGTTTTGAAACATCAGCATAAATGTGACGCGTAGAAAAAAAAAAAAAATAAAATAAACAAAAAAAAAAAAATTATTTTCCGCGATTGTGCAGAGAAGAAGAACAAAAAAAAAAAAAAAAAAAAAAATTAAAATTTTCCATGGCGATTTCGTGCGTCTTAGCGGGTCCATCAATTTTTTATTTTTTTTTTCATTACCACCACCACAACAACCAACAACAACTTAAACAACAACCAAACAAACAACTAGACTAAAAAATCAAACCAATGGCCGATACGGAGATACCCAATCTGGCAGAGCTGGAAAAAGAATACCAGCGTCTTAAAGACTTGAGGTCCGGGGGTCGGTACGTACCGCCAGCAAAATTACGCGCGCTGGAGGAACGGCTCAAGCTTAAAGAGGGACCTGAGGATCAGCAACGACGTGACTGGGAAAACCTGAAAAAGTCACTCAATAGTTTGATCAATAAGGTGAACCACGGTAACATCAAGACAATTGTACAGGAAATTTTTAAGCACAATTTGATTCGCGGACGCGGATTGTATTGTCGCAGTATCATGAAGGCACAAGCTCTTGCATTACCATTCACTCCAGTGTATGCGGCACTAACAGCCATCATCAATTCCAAACTTCCCATTGTTGGAGAGCTACTAGTTACACGATTAATTCTTCAGTTCAGAAAGGCTTTTCGACGAAATAACAAAGCTCTGTGTTTATCCAGCGTCATATTTATAGCACATTTGTGCAACTACCAGGTGGCGCACGAGATTGTGGCGTTACAGATTTTACACCTTTTGTTGGAGAAGCCAACAGATGATTCAGTAGAATTGGCTGTAGCATTTGTCAAGGAGGCTGGTGCTTATTTGATTGAGACCAGCAAAACAGCAATGGCTGGTGTGTTTGATCGCTTCCGAGAAGTGTTGCATGAAGGCCAGATTGAAAAGCGGACTCAATATATGGTGGAGGTTCTTTTCCAGATCCGTAAAGACGAATTTAAGGATAACCCTGCAGTGCCACCAGAGCTGGATTTGGTGGAAGAGGATGATCAAATTACGCACATGATTGGATTAGACGACAACGAGCTCAAGGCTCAAGATACATTAAATGTGTTTAAGTTGGACCAAAATTACGAGGCTAATGAGGCGAAATATGAGAATATAAAACGAGAGATTTTGGGAGATGAAGAGGACGATGAGGATGAGGATGAGGATGACCAACAAGAAGAAAGTGAATCTGAAGAGGAAGAAGAAGAAGAAGAAAAGTCATCTGGAAAGCCTGGTATTAAGGATATGACCAATGCTGAACTTTTGACTCTACGCAAAACAATTTATCTCACAATCATGTCGTCTATGTCAGTTGACGAAGCAACACATAAACTTTTAAATGTCAAGATTCCAGAAGGCCAAGAGATTGAGCTTGTGAATATGATTGTGGAGGCTTGTTCTCAAGAAAAGATTTACAATAAGACATATGGTTCAGTTGCAGCACGGTTATGCTACAGTAGCCGGATATGGCGGGATTTGTTTGGAGAGAGTTTTGCACATTATTATGAGATTATTCACCGTTATGACACAAACCAGATTCGCAACATTGCGACGCTTTTCGGATACATTTTAGCTGCTGATGCTCTTGGATGGGAAGTTTTTGAGGTTGTGCATATGAATGAGGCTGAATCGACATCATCGTCTCGTATTTTTATCAAAATTTTGTTTGAAGAGATGAAAATGGAGCTTGGAAGTAAAAAATTGGCAGAGAGGTTTAAGGAGGAATATATGCAGCCGTTTTTGGTCAACATGTTTCCAATGGGTAAGAATGCAGAGGATGTGCGGTTTTCAATTAATTACTTTACGGCTATTGGATTGGGTGTGTTGACTGAGGATATGCGAGAGTATTTGAAGAATATGCCACCGCCAGAGGATGAAGATGAGGAAGAAGAAGAAGAAGAAGAAGAAGAAGAAGAAGAAGAGGAAGAGGGTCGGGGAAGAAGGTCATTAGATTCTAGTGACGATGAAGAGGATAGAGATCGTGGTCGAAGAGATTCTTTAAGTCCTAGTCCTAGCCCAAGAAGAAGAAGAAGAAGCAAAGGTCGTCGGAATTCATTGAGCCCTAGCCCTAGTCCTAGTCCAAGTCCTAGTCCTAGTCCAAGTCCTAGTCCAAGTCCAAGCCCAAGCCCAAGTCCAAGACGAAGTCGTCAAGATTCCATTAGTCCTAGTCCAAGTCCCCGAAGAAGTAGAAGAGATTCTGTGAGTCGCAGTCCACGACGCAGTCCCAGAAAAGATTCAGTTACACCAAGAAGAAATCGACGTGATTCTTTTGACAGTCTTTCAGAGGAAGATCAGTATGGACGGGATCGCAGTTATAGTCGTCGCAATAGTGACAAAAAAGGAGGCAATCGTCACAGGGGTGATGATAATGAAGATGATGATTATTCTAGAAGCCCAAGTCCACGAAGGTCATTATCAGTTGACAGTCGGCGGTCGTCATATTCACAAAGTGTGACACCACCAAGGAGATCTTCTAAGAGCATGACAACAAAATCAGCATCTGTTAAGTCACGCAAAAGATCCTTATCACCTGATGAAGGCTATTACCGCCGTGAGAGTCGTCGAGAGCCTAAAGGTAGTAGCAGCAGCAGCAACAACAACAGGAGAAGTAGGAGAAGACGAGATGAGAGTGAAGAAGATAAAGAAGATTCAGATGATGGTCATGATCGTGGTCGTGGTCGTGGTCGTGGTCGTGATCATGATCGTGGTCGCAGATACTCTCGCCGTAATGACAAAAGAGATGATGATGATGATGATGATAATAATAATGATGACTCTGACTATGATTCTGATAATAGGTACCGCCGGAACGATACCAATAAAAGCAGCACCCGTGGATATCCGTCTGGTCGGGGCTTGAGTTCTGAACGGCCGAGTCGTGAAGAACACCACCCCGCACGTGGAGTAGAAGCAAGAGGAAGAGGAGGCAATGGGCGGTTACCGGCGGAGAGTTTTGAGAGGCATCCGAAGAGTAATAAAGACAATGGTGGAGAAGGGAAAGAAGGGAAAGAAGGAAAGAGAAATGGAGAATACTCGCCACCACCTAAAAGACCTAGAACTTGGGCAGATGTTGAGCATTGGACGTCAGAAAGATCCGTTGGTGGTGATGTTGGTGGTGATGGTAATAGTCATGGGGTAGATAAGCCACGGGTCCAACAGCAGCAGACCCGGGCAGGACGTAAACGGGCTTCAGCAGCGGATTATTTGTAAGGGTGGTGTGGTTTGTATTCTTAGAGCATCGGAAGCAAAGACCCGTGTATATATTTGTAATAAAGTAATATAAAGTAATAAAGTGAAGAAAGGAAAATGTTGTAACAAATGGGGGTTTTTTTTCCTACTCCCTCTATTAAATATATATTTATAATATATTTTTCTATACTATATGTATTTACTATATGTATATAAAAATATTAAAAAAAAAAAAAAAAAAAAAAAAAACAGCGCGGCCTTTTTATTTTATTTTTTTTTATTTTATATATAAAAACCAAACAAAATCCACTCTTTTTTTTTTTTTTTTTTTTTTTTTTTCATTTCCCCTTTCCATCATCTATACTTTAAACTACCCCCACCTCCCTCCCTCTCCATCTTTCCATCCATAAATATTTATAAAAAAAAATGCTTAGCAGATCTGCTTTACGCGCCAGACCCTCTAATCTTGTTCGTTTGAACATTTCTGCCACCTCATTTGTGCGTGGTATGGCTTCTGATGGTATGTGATTGATTAATTATTTATAGATAGTAATGATTCTTTCTCTATGGAGGGGATTTGTGATTTGTGATTTGTGAATTTTTTTTTTGGATTATTATAGCAAAATATTATTATAAATATAATAAATAAAAAAAATCCCACCCGATATTATTCAGATTATTTACAGAAAAGTCCTAGTTGAAGTCAATTGAATGATGATTATAATAATAATAACAATACCCATATGGTTTTAGATACCCTTTAGTCCAGTAATCTCTGTTTGTTCTTTATAAAAAAATTAATAAATTAATAAATAAATAATCAATTGAGCAATTGAGCAATTGAGTAATTGAGTAATTGAATTTTTTATTATTTATTTATTTATTTATTTTCAATTCCTACGATTATCTTAAATTTTTTTTTTTGTTTATATATAAATTGCCCCGCCAGCCATTCATCAATAGACAAAATAGTAGTAACAGCAGCAGCAGCAGTAGCAGCAACGACAACAATAATAATAATAACAATAGAAATAGCGGCCAAGGCAGCACACACAACACACAGCAATGGCACAGCACAGCACAGCACAGCACAGCACAGCACAGCACAGCAGCAGCCCCTCTCTCTATTTTTTTTTTCTCTCTCAGCCCCACCCAATCACCGGCCAGAAGATGCCGCACACAGAAAAAATAATCAACAGCAAATAATAACAGAGCATTAAAAAAACAAATTTAAAATAACAACGTTTTGAGTTCTTTTTTTTTTTATTATTATATTTTTATATTTAAAACCCTCGTTAAAATGGACCCGTCTTGACCGAATCATCAATTAAAATGCTCTGTGATTCTTTTTCTATTATTGGACTTTTTTGTTTTTTTTTTTTTTTAATTTTCAATTTTGTGTGTGTGTGTGTTTAGGATGCACTCTTCCGATTATCGGCACCTCTTTATGCTATCAACACAAATCCAAACCCCTCCATCCTAACTCGGACCTTGGATCAAATTTCTAACCTATCATTACTTTCGTTTTTTTTATATATATATTTAGCCACCGAACACGATGTCGTTGTCATTGGTGGTGGCCCCGGTGGCTACGTTGCTGCCATCAAGGCTGCTCAACTCGGCCTTAAGACCGCCTGCATTGAGAAGCGTGGTTCTCTCGGTGGTACCTGTCTTAACGTTGGCTGCATTCCCTCAAAGTCTCTCCTCAACAACTCTCACCTCTACCACCAGATTCTCCACGATACCAAGAAGCGTGGTATCATTGTCGGTGATGTCAAGATTGACGTTGCTGGTCTCCAAAAGGCTAAGGAGGACTCAGTTACCTCCCTCACCAAGGGTATCGAGATTCTCTTTAAGCAAAACAAGGTCGACTACTTCAAGGGTACTGGCTCTTTTGTCAATGAGAATGAAATCAAGGTCGAGCCCATTGATGGCAGCGCCCCCTCTACCCTTAAGGCCAAGAATGTTATCATTGCTACTGGCTCTGAGGTCACTCCCTTCCCTGGCATTGAGATTGACGAGGAGCGCATTGTTTCCTCCACCGGTGCTTTAGCTCTTAAGGAAGTCCCCAAGCGTCTCGCCGTCATTGGTGGTGGTATTATTGGTCTTGAAATGTCCTCTGTCTGGTCCCGTCTCGGCTCTGAGGTGACCATCATTGAGTTCCAGAACGCCATTGGCGCCGGTATGGACGGTGAAGTTGCCAAGAGCACCCAAAAGATTCTCGGTAAGCAGGGCCTCAAGTTCAAGACTGGCACCAAGGTCACCTCCGCTAAGAGAAACGGTGATGTTGTTACCATTGAGGTTGAGAATGTTAAGACCGGCAAGACTGAGTCTCTCGAGGCTGATGTTCTTCTCGTTGCCGTTGGCCGTCGTCCTTACACTGCAGGCCTTGGTCTTGAGAAGATTGGCATTGATGTTGATGAGAAGGGCCGTCTTGTCATTGACCAGGAGTACCGCACTAAGCACCCCCACATTAGAGTCATTGGTGATGTTACCTTCGGCCCCATGCTTGCCCACAAGGCTGAGGAGGAAGGTGTTGCCGCTGTTGAGTTTATCAAGAAGGGCCACGGCCACGTCAACTACGGCGCTATCCCCTCCGTCATGTACTCCCACCCTGAGGTTGCTTGGGTTGGCCAGAGCGAGGAGCAAGTCAAGGCTTCTGGTATTGCCTACAACGTTGGCAAGTTCCCCTTCCTTGCCAACTCTCGTGCTAAGACCAATCTCGATACTGAAGGCTTTGTTAAGTTCATCAGTGACAAGGAGACTGACCGAATCCTTGGTGTTCACATCATTGGCCCCAATGCCGGTGAAATGATTGCTGAGGCTGTTCTTGCCATTGAGTACGGTGCCAGTTCAGAAGATGTTGCCCGTACATGCCATGCTCACCCCACTCTTTCTGAAGCGTTCAAGGAGGCTGCTATGGCCACCTATGACAAGTCCATCCACTTTTAAATGATACACATAAAAAAAATTAATAATGGGGGATAGTTATGATAAAAACAGAAAGAAATATATAAATAAATAATTTAAAAAAAATGGAATATTTTAATAATAGTAAATAATATAATGACTGATTTTTTTTTAAAAAAAAAAAAAAAAAAAAAAAGTATCTTAGTTGCCTATTTAACCTTTATATGGTTAGTATTTACGATGAGGCCGTAAAGTACCAATTATTGGCTCCAAAGCCTTGGGAAGTATTTCAGCGGCATCACCTTGGAATGCCCATCCACCTCCATTTTTGATAAGATCAGTAGCAATAGACGATTCTTCATCCACGTCAATATTAAAAACTGCGACTTTCCCCCCACGCATGGCTACTTGCTCGACATACCCTGCAGCAGGCCATACGCTGCCCGAAGTACCAATCACAAGAATCAAGTCCACAGGAGGATCAGCTGTGATAAAATCATCTGCACGTTGGAGAACATTAAATGGTAAAGCCTCACCGAACCATACAACACCTGGACGTAGCAGACCAACTTTGCAGGAGGGGCATCGTGGTAAAAGATCGATAGGGATATCTTTTGTAATGAATTTTTTCTTGCGGCTCTTTTTTTTGGCATGAGCATGGGAATCATTATTATCTTTACTTTCTTCTTGTTCTTCTTGTTCTTCTTGTTCTTGTTCTTCTTCTTTTTCTTTTTCTATTACTGATGGCTCAACTTCTTCTGTCTTCTTTTTTCGACCAGTTGGCGGTGCATTGTATCCATTGGGGAAAAAAAATGATGACGACGAGGAATAACCGTCTGTTCCATCGGTTGTCAGTCCATCTGTTGTCGTTAACCCACCACTCGAATACCCGGCATCACGTTGTTCCATGAGAGGGCCTTTCCCAAAAATGCTCTTCTTAAGCGCATCTGAGTCCTCGGTAGCCACCCCACCATTCAGTTTTTTATAGTTAGGGTCTGCTGCATATTCTTCGTCATCCACCTTAAGTGCCGGTGTAAGTGGGTCATCCAGTACACCTTCCTGTTTGTATGAACACATGAACGATGTACATTTAACTGTAAATAAGTCGCCATGAAGGCACAGTAAGTCTTCCTGTGGATGTTGTGCGCGTGCAGATAACCCGTCAACGTTTTGCGTGAGCGTGAGAAATTGTCCGGGTCGACGTCGTGCCAGCTCAGCCAGTGCATAGTGACCCTTGTTAGGTTTAGCTCTTAAGGCTGCGTGCCGTCGATATGAATAGAACTGCCATACTAAACTTGGGTCATTCTGGAAAGCATCCGGTGTCGCAAGGTCCATGGCATCGTAGTTACGCCACAGACCACCAGAGCCACGGAACGTGGGCAAGCCTGAAGACGCAGAGAGGCCAGCGCCAACTAGATAAAACAAGTTAGGAAAAAAAAAATTATAAATAATTAAAAGAAATAAATAAAATAAATGTACCTAGAGCTATTATTCGCTTTGAGCTTGAGAGATGTTGCTGGAAAGAAGCAAGATCGCTTGACATTTTGTAAGGATTTCCTATGGAGGTTTACGTTTGGAATGAATGTTTAAGTGGAGATCTTTTTGTAGAGGCTCAAAAAAGAAAGGAAGAGGAAAAAGATAAGTTTAAAATCATGTGATAATCATGTGATAATTAAAGTTACCCTGAATTAGTTAATGTTTGTTAAGTTTTAAATTTAACTTTATTAATTTAACATTTTTATTTTTTATTTTTTTTTATTTTTATTTTTTTTTTTTTATTTTATCATCACCACCACCACCACCACCACCATCAAATCTCTTTTTTTTTTTTAATTTTTTAATTTTTTAATTTTTTTTTGTTTTGAAGACACACACAAAAAAAAAATAAAAAAAAGATCACCAAAAATTCAATTTTCCAACTGCTCCTTACAAAATTAAAAAAAAAAAATAAAGAAATAAATTAATTTAAAAAAAATTTAAAAAAAAAAAACATTTTTAAAATAAATTTAAACATTTCTTGAAAGTCTTTATTTTTTTTTTCAGGTTTTAAAAAAAAATTATTAAGAAATCTTTTTAAAAAAAAAAATAATAAATAAAAAAAAAACCCCCCCGATTGAATTACACGTTTATTTCCAATTCAAATTTTAATCTCATTTGGTTTAAATTCTCCAGTCTTTTTTTTTTTTTTGTTAAATCAACCATTTAGAAACCCTTCATGTCTCAATCACGAAGCAGCAGGCGATTGACTCGAGGAGCTGTAGCTGCCGCGTCTTCTGGAGAACCTCCAGCTACACAGACCCAAGGCCAATCTGCATCCACAGAAGAAAGTCAATATCAACAACAACAACAACATCATCCCACATCTACACAGGCAAACGCGTCGTCACCTCCTACGCGTAAAAGCAAACGTTTACGGTCTGAGCCTGCAAACTTGGAGCTCGCATCAAAAGAAAATAACGATAAAGATAAAGATGAGGATGAAGACGAAGATGCAGAAGATGAAGATGAAGATGAAGAAGATGAAGATGAAGATGAAGATGAGGACGAAGAAGATAAAGAACAGGAACAACCACGACAGCCCGTTACTAGAGCCTCTCGACGCGTAGCACAACAAGCTGCATCTTCTGGGAATGCCTCTGGGTCTACAGCTGGCGCGTCTGGATCACCAGTATCGCACAAAAGTTCCTCTGCAGCCCCGCGTGTAGACTCTGTGACGACCAAGATTCTACGGCCGTTTTTCGAGGGCATCTATGATCTGACTGATGAAGAGTAAGTTTGGCTCAATCCTGAGTTTTGTTGAATTAATTACTAACCATATATATATTTTTTTTCTCTTACCCCCCCTCACAGCGGCGATGCCATTTCAGACGTGTTCCAGACGCTCCCAGAGCGTAAAATTATCCAATATTATAAAACCATCAAGCGCCCAATCTCGCTCTTTATGGTACGAACTCATCTCAACCAAAACAAGTACCCCACGCCTAAAAACTTTTTGCGCGACTTGGTCCAAATTTCATGGAACGCGCGTTTATTTAACCGCAG